GAGATCCCCGTTCTTGATATTCAGTATCAAGACATGACATTTGTTGATGAAAGTCTGCAGCCTGTTAGAAATGCTGTTCATGGCTTGATAAGCCTCTAAACAGTGTGGAAGCACTGGCTTACTATTAGTGTTGAAACCTTTTATATTTTCATATGATTTCCATGTTGTGAATGGCGTTAATTCGTCATTCGAATGACGGAATATCTCATATGTATGTAACGTATAAACCAACATTTTAATTTTTCTAGTATAATTCTAGATAACCACAGAGTTTCTGAGAGTTGCTGACTGATTTTTATGGCTTACAGCTGAACAGTTGCATCTCAAGATTATTTATTTGTGCCTTGTTGAATGAAAAAAAGCAACCTTACCCACTTACTGGTGATAATTTTGAGTTTGTCAAGAAACAGGTGTTTCCAAAGACTAGAGCAACAACTTTCTGTAACATCTTAGTCTCTCTCTCCTCTTACCTTATTGCTACTCATTGTAAAATAATATTTAGGTCAGCAGTTCTGTGTGATAAAGATTCCAGATTGTATAATACTGATGAGAATCAGGTGAGAACACACTGCTTTTTTGTTCGTTTTTCCACTATTCCAACAATATGGCGCTTAATACCATAACCAAACAGATTAAAAAAATAATTCATTATTCTTTCTACTATTCAATAACTTCACCTCTTGAATTTTCTTGTTAATCAGATGACCTGGAAGGATTAATTGAATTAGCACGAAGATTTCCCCACACAGCACTTGTAGATTTTATTTTTTTTAAGGAAAAAAGAGGATCAGGTTATTCTTTAGATGATTTCTTATGTTTTGCATTTCGGAGATTTCCAAAGTTCATCAGGGAAAAGAGTGTTTTCACAAAAGTAACATTTTTCAGATAAAACTAAAGAACATGTTTTACAGTCAATTAAAATCCACCAATTACGATTTAATTAGTGTTGACAGACTTTCATTATTTTTATTTCTTGTTGAGCACAAACATAAACAGAGAAGATTTAACATGTCATATGATACTTAAGAAAAGCAGTTTGCTAGTATTCGTGATTGTCATGTATTTTATACTATTCATAATTGTATCCTGTCTGTAGCCAGTGTATAACTAATGTAACCAACATAGCTGTAAATTTTCCAGCGGTGGCACAGCGGTTAGGACGTCTGCCAACCATGCACGTGGTCCGGGGTTCGATCCCAGGCCGACTCGCACCTGATATCAATGGTCAGCCTGCTAAATTCGGGCTACCGATATCACATGCTGAAAATTCCATAGTCGTACCAAAAATACTGTCAAGAATCAAGCTATAAAAAAATTAATTAGATTAAAGTATTTCAGATTCCAGAATAGTCATTGGATTAATAACTGGACAATTCTGTCAACTACCTAGCTACTCTTTGGCGAACAATTTGCATAACTTAATTTTCCTTTATGAAAACTACTCGTATAAATTACGAATTCGCAAATTGTAACTACCTCGCTGAAATTAGATTATATGCTAAAACACTTAGTATATATTAGAAAACAATTGATATTCAAGTGTTGGTTTGTAGGGATTTGATTGGTTACAGGATTTCATCATGAACTGAAGGTCCTGGGTTCGAATCCCGGTGGGAGCGTACTACTGAAGAGTTCCAAACTAGGATGAAACAGCTGTCCAGTACTCCCATGTTTTCCAATGGTTCTCTAACTAATGTCAGCTCATGATGAAATCCTGTAAGAAAACAATTGCTTTCTCTTCAGTTTCCATTTTAAATGCTTCAAACATCAGATAAATTTCTTGCTGAGTTATAAAAGTTCCTCCTGTTTCAAAATTTCTGGAGACACTTATTTAGCATTCTTCTGTATCATGAATTAAACCTAAGATATTGGTATAAATTCTTTTGCAAATTAATTAATGAAGACAGTTTGTTTAACTTAAAGAACACATTTGTAAATGTTCATCTGTCCATTATGTTGTCAATATATTGGTTTTAGTAATTAGTTCCAACAATATGAATACAAGATAAGAAAGCCATAATATAACGTAGAATAAATTGATAAGACATATATAAAACGTAGAAACTAGCGAAAATTTAAAGTGTTTGTCGTACGAAAATTAGGCATGTTTCGAATAGTGAGTATGGTTGGCAAAATCCCACTGAATAAAATAGAAGTAGGAAATACAGAGTGCGTTCTGAAGGGTTAGGCTGTGTATCTTTGCCTTGTATCATTTATTCATAGGCGCATTATGATAATGAAACCTTCTAGAGTTGAATACAATTTTGTAAGACTCATGATTAATCCAACACGTGGGCAGAAGGCAACTAAGTACTCTTCATGTGTGTTAGGCTCATTTGAGTTTATTTATTTATTCAATGTATTAAGCGGTGAAACAACACTGCATACATCATAGCGATTCTAAGGCGATGGGAATTCCTATGAACATGAAAAATGGCTTGTTCTAATTGTTCCACTGCATTATATAGTCGAATGATAAAGAAAACATGAAAATAAAGTTTCCTATTTCTCAAAGTCTATCATAAGCTATCAAATGCTTTAAATAATTTCGTTGAATTCAGAATAATAGAAGGGCTTTGATATCGACCTTATTAAACATTCCTAGGATGATACAATCGCAAAAACTGCTACAAAATTTATTTATTATGGAGAATCTACATTTCGAATGAATATTTGAAGGTTTATGAACGCTTCTCATGAGAACAATTTCCTACTTATAATAAATAAAGTAATAATGATAATAAAAGACAATTTTAACCTTATCAAATTTCTAACCCTTTCTTCCATTGTGCATTTGAGTACTACGTAAATTACAACTTGTATTTTTTTAAATTCTGAAACCACTTATGAGTAATGATATCAGTTATGTCACCCCCCACACCTATTACTCAGTTTGTTGAAATTTCAATTCACCTGGCAAGTGTGTATTTGCTAACTGAATTTGCACTAGAAACAAAAAACAATGTATCACAATGACTGCAGACCAAGTGGTGAAAGTAGTCATATCGACATATTAACAGAAAATCTACGTTAAATGGAACAATGCATTTCATCACTTCGATAACTTTATGCAACATACTGATCTGAGAATAGTTGTCATGATAAAACGACACTGATTTAAGATAAATTGAATATTCCCATAATTTATTCAGAACAAAATATTTAGAGCGAACAATTGTGGTTTCAGTAAATTCTTCTTCAGGCTCTACAATTATAAATCCATTAATTTAAACATACAATAGCCAGTAAAGGCAAATTAGAATCATATGAGAAAGTGTATTGTGGAACAAGTATAAGATGGGATGCAACAATAGTCAGATAGTTTTTTTAATATGCATGGTCAATGAGAACATGGGCCAAAATCAGATGAAGTAATTTAATTTAATGATGTGTACATATATATAAATATAGTCAACAGAAAATACAGGTTTCGAGAGTGTGTGTAATCAGGGTGTGTGAGACAATATGAAAATAAACCAACGAATGGGGCGGACTAGACATAAGTTCAAGCTTGAAAATAACGACAGTAAAATAATAACGACGATATGGTGTAAAATACAAGCACTATTGGTGAATGATTGTCAAATAATAATAATGAATATAATGAAGTGGAATGAATAGGATTTTGTAAATACGATAGCAAGTTAGAAAAGCACTACTTAAACCTAAGGTAATATATTCATAAGAAAGGTCATGAAATCATAAAAGTCGAAAATGAACGTTTGTCAATAAAACAGAGGAATAGAAGAAGAAGAAAAGAAAATTGTGAAAGGAATTTGTAGTGTTAATGGAGGATTTGTTGGCCAAGGTAAACATAGTGGTTGAACATACTTCTTCTGTATGCAAAGAGATGGTCTTCTGGTATTAATTGCCACCGCTTCAGCTGCTGATAGAAGACGTAGTCGAGCTCCTCTAGATAAATTACTAGGAACGCGGTAAATAACTGAGAACGCCCGTTCTAGTGAGCTAAGACTGCACTATTTACACATTTGATTACTCCTTTACTCATGTTCACGCGCGCGCATGGATAAAGCCCTCTGAGTACGGCCAGTGTAACTAGCTCCACATGAGCAGTTGAACTCATAGATACACATTGGTAATTTATCCTTTACTTGCTGTGTGAGTACTGGTTTAGTTGAGTACCAGTTTAGCTGACTATTGTTCCATCCCATCTTATACTTGTTCCACAATACACTTTCTCATATGATTCTAATTTGCCTTTACTGGCTATTGTATGTTTAAATTAATGGATTTATAATTGTAGAGCCTGAAGAAGAATTTACTGAAACCACAATTGTTCGCTCTAAATATTTTGTTCTGATTTAAGATAAGCTTAAAAGAGCATGTTAGTGTTTTTTCTTTATCTATTTCATCCCAATTGTACAGCTCATACAAAGTAAGCATAAACACTGCTCACACTTATAAGTAAAAATGGCAGACGCTATTAAATCCTGTGATTTTCAAAGATGATATTTACGCATTAATATGTTGCAAAACAAAAATAACTTTCAAGTTTGGCCATGGATTGATATCAGTTAGAGGACCATTGAAAACCACCGAGCATCGGACAGTTATTTCTTTCTCTTAGTTTGGGACTCATTGGCAGTACGCATTCACAGGGTTTTGAATCCAGGACTTTCCGGTTACAAGTCAAGCTCGTAGACCTTTCAGCCACTGGCCCATGAATTCTAACTTCTACCAATTAGTGACCATAGCACGACCACCAACCAAAAATAACTTTTTCCGATTTTTCTTAAAAAAGTCACAAAGTCTGTACTCTGTAACAAAGTCCTATTCAAATGATTACAAAAAAGAGATTTATATGAATCCCAGAATATTCAGCTGTCAAAGAGAACATAAAATAAAACCCACTTTCTTATGAAGTTAATTATATGAGAAAAAACAACTTTAATATCTCATATAGTTAATACTAGCGTGTGTGTTGTAATAAATCATTCTCTACCATCTTTTACCTACCTTTTCTTCAATTTCTTCAAAAGCTTACTGCGAGTAATGAAATACTGGTGAATTTTCTACCTGAAGAAATTGAAAAAGAGAAATCTTTCGGTCTACACTCATTATCGAGTATAAGGACAGCGAATAATTTGACAGGCGTAATGCGTACATGGATGTTGATTGATTGGCCAGATGAACAGACGAAGCATAATTTCACTATAGAAATTGTCAGAGTATGTTTTATTTTATTTCTTTTTCTAATTTTTACTTAGATTTTGTTTGCTTTTCAGCCTGATGCATGTTGCATTAATTTGCATAAAATTTTGTTTACATGAATTATTCTATGAGTGATTTACACAATGAAATTATAATGAGATGAGAGATGAATTCAGATTAATTTATTTATTACTATTTCCATTTATTCTGTGATACATTACATTTCCCCAGTTGGTTTGGAAATACATTAGACGTAGAGCAGCTAATCATAAATGCTGATTTTTAATGCTAATATTCACATTAATGAATTCACAAATAGGCTTCTGTAAAAAGTGTGGTCTCGACAGCTTAGTTAAATATGTTCAGTGTGTGACGTGAAGAAATATGCCAGATCAGATAAGAGATAATTTTAGGCACACAAATTATGAGCGAAAAATGTCGTGGCACAATGAGATATTTAACCGCAGCGAAAGTTTCCTGTTGAGATATATTTAAATCTTATGTACATGACGAGTTTCATGACACGTGTCCTGATCTAAAGTCTTATAATCAAGTTGCAAAAGCTGCTAGAGACATATTATACGTAGCCCTTACGTTTCTTGGCCATTATTCATAGAAAATGTAGTCGTATGATTTTCGACGGTTTGATAAATTTTAATAAAGTAGTCTAATTTACTTCGGTAAGTGTGTCGAAAGAAGAAGAAGGAGACTGCCTTTTACATTCTAAATAGCAGCTGAACTTTGTTTCGAAACTTGAATGAAATCACCTGTTTTGGTTGAACAGCAGGCAACTGCTTGAAGAACTAAGAAACATAACTTTAAGAACATCATTGTACAATAGGTGGAGAGCACAAATAAGCATATTAGTTGAACAATGTGAAATAATATCACACCCCAGAATGATCAGGACACTAATACTGCATGGAAGAAACTAGTTATTGATATATATAAAGGATATCTCATTGTTTGCCTAATATTCTCTTCCTCTTTCAAGCTGTTAACTGTTCTAAACAGAACGTTACTATAATTCTTAAAGATCGCGCTGTATCGGCTAAATGCTTTAAAAGAGCAGAAAAGTATTTTAAAACTTGACATTTGTAATACAGTTTTCTGAATGTAAACTGCCTGATATTCAATTTATTTGTTTTAATTCAGGCGATTGTTTAAAAGCAAGACGAGATATATTTGGATCCGAATTCCATTGTGACTGCACTTTTCATATTTCATTGTAACTCTGAATGCTCTGCAGTTGAAAAATGGAAACTTTTGTACAAAGTCAATTGGTCTTATTTATCCGCTAATAATGAGTGTCTGATACAGAATTCACCCTTTTTCTTTAGATTATAGTTTAATACTGTTAATAAACTTGTAAGTAGTTGAAAAACGCATCTACAAAATCTCTGAAATTCGCATTTTTTAAACATTAATAAATGTATTGTACAAAATGTAGGTTACTTGTGAAAGTGCATTGACGTACGCGAGACAGTTACACGAAAAACTACGTTTACAAGGATACTGTGATGAAGAAGGTCAATTCGACATTTCAAACTCGGTAAGATCTGTTTTTTGAAACTTTTGCATAACCTTCTAAGGGTTTATTTCTCATTGATGGTTTTTACCTTCTCAGATGACTGGATTGAAAGTATAGTGTACTTTTTAAGATGCTTTATATGAAATTTTTATACAAGACTAACTCGAGTATTTGCATCATTACTAGACACCAACTGTATGCTATACTTTTATATAAAGTTTAATTGACTAGTTGTTGACGGAAAATACCTGATAGCGTTTAGTTTAGACTTTATTGTTCTTAGAATGCTGTAGTCATCAGTACTGCAATTTCGCTGTGTAATAGATACACAGCAGTTATCAGAAAACATTTTACCTCAGTGTTGTGCTAACTAGTACTCACCAACTAACTGACGTCACATAACTCAAAGTTATGGTATATGATGCTCCAGCATGAATTTCGCTAATATTTGTCAGGAAACAGATTTGCAACTTAATACTTTTCGTTTCACTGTCCAACAATTGATGATATTTAATTATCAAAATAACTTAATTTTGTCTATGTCATTCCACACCAATTGGAAAACTTGTCCTTGATGACTGTCATCAATAGAAGTATATTTGAGATATAAATGAAGGGATAAAGAAACAATTACAGCACTTATAGTTATTTAGTTATGTGCATGTACGTATATATGACTCACCCATCTTTTTCATGTTGTTCGCAATGATGTAGCTTTCTGTTGGCCTAAACAATCTTGAACTAATCTCGAAATTAGTCCAGTGGAGTTTGCTATTTCTAAATATACAAACCCCATGGTCGCGAAAAGACTCTAAAGGGAAGAATAATAATAATACATCACCAGCAACTCTTACTACTTTCAATGTTGACAGTAGTATAACTTCTCAAAGTAAAAACAATAATGTGACCAGTGATGCTACGGTTGAAAAATGTAAATCCACGGATGATGAAGAAATGAAAATTTCCTACCAGAAATTGGAAACACTGAAACGCCTTCAACACAATGGTTACAGTGAACTTATTCGAGTATTGAATCGCACAATTTATCGCATGAACGCCAAGGTATGTATTTCAGTCTTCTTTTTTTAGAATTTATTCTATTGTACTCAGCCTGTTAACCCCGCCGCATATCTGATCGATACATTCCCACAAACACTTATGGCTGAACAATTATATTCCTGATCATGTAAAAGTTTGTAAGGGTCAATAAAAGCGTCCTAATAAAAAAATATTACGGACGACATTGGAATCCGGTGGACTCAGACTTCTGATTCGATTTTCCCATTGCTTAAAATTCCACCGATATAATGCCTTCATAAATAGAAATGGTTATTTCAAGCTTAACTACGCATTGATATCAGCTAGAGAACCACTGGGCGAAGTTCAAGTATCACACTCCGAGGGTGCGACTGCTCCAAAGATCTTTGAAGTCTCATTATTATAGCTCTAATAGGAACGTCATTCACCAACTAAGGAGTGAACTTCATCCAGATAAGGTTTAAGTACTGTTTGGACAGTGTTTTAATAGCTCACACAACTTCTTGTTTGAGCGACTTGATATAATTATGAGCAGTAATTTATGCTCAAAACATCCTTGTTTAATATTAATGTATTTTGTCCTAGCTTCGGACTCATTGGCAGCACGCACCCACTGGGTTTCGAACCCAGGGCCTTCCGGTTATAAGGCATTCGGCTACTGAGACACGACTCATTGGTCCGTGAATTCTTACTTCCACCAGTTCGCGATTTTAGCGCATCTGCCACCTGATTTTCAATGGTTCTCTAACTGATATCAGTCCGTTGTCGAACTTGAAACAAATCAAATCCCTTCAGAAGAACTCATGATGAAAATCCTGTAACCAATCAAATCCCCACAAATCAACACTTGAATACCAATGAGATGCTCACTAGTGACTTGCCCTATTCAGGTAGGTAGTTGCCTGGGGTTCTAGTGAGAAGTCGTGACCAGTAGGGTGCAGCAGGTTGGGTGTCAGGACAAATACTCGCCGAAGACATTGGCTAGGGGTCGCGCTATGTCGTGAATTAGCAGAAGTTAGAATTCATGGACCATTGGATCGGGTCCCAGTGGCTTAAAGGTATACGAGCTCGCCTTGTAACCAGGAGGTCCTGGGTTCGAATCCCGGTGGGTGCGTACTGATGAAGAGACCCAAACTAGGACAAAACAGCTGTCCAGTACTCCCAGGTTTTCCAATGGTTCTCTAACTAATGTCAGCTAATGATGAAAATCCTGTAACCAATCAAATCCCTACAAACCAACACTTGAATAGAAATAATTATCTTGATCACTGTCTTAGTACTCACCACAAACAACTGTGAATATCATCTTGCGTTGTGTACTGTATGAATCGCAAAACTTTCTATTGAATAATTACATCATCTATAAATACCATAAGAAATATGCTTGAAGGTTACTAACTAAAAATAAGCTCAGTTGTTTAGAGTCTTTCTTCTACAAAGCTATGACGCTGTTTGTTATTAAAGAAAAAATGTTAATGAGTATTTTTGTTATTTCTAAAGTTTATCTGTTAGGTCATATACTAACATAAAATAATTAAATGAAAATAGTGCCTTATGTTATTTGACATAAATGATAAATGAGATGTTTAGTTTATTTGTTATTTACTGGTCTTCACTTGCCAGTATTTAACAAACCTTTGTAGTGGCATTCGGAGTAATGAAGAAAATTAAATAATGGCAGAATTCAACCCAGCAGTAATCAGAATACTGATTCGACAATTTCAGGGCTGAATTTCACGACGGAAAATAGTTAGTTCTACTGTCCCTACGAGAATGATTGTCAACATGATACACGCTACTCAGACAGTCCCCCTTATAATCTTATCAAATTAGAAACAGGCAGTGAATTGAGTAATTATCAATGGTTTCATGTTATTTGTTATTTGAAATCAATAAAATATACTGGAACTACAGGTGACTTATTTGAAGCAAACCTTTTTCGACGAATGGACCACTCGGTTCACGTATCAGAAAACCATTTCGATTATCTTGAAGAAGTGGTTTCAAAGTTCACCCAAATCTAAGTCCACGTCTCAGCACTTATTTTAATTTAGTAACAGAAAACAATTTCTTGAACCATAATAATCTCAAATAGAGTATGAAACTAACTATATTTGTTAAGAGACTTTCATGAGAACTCACCTTATTTCATCGCGTGTTTTTACTGATCGTTTAGTTGTCTATCTCAAATCTCTGATTTTTATTGATGTCTTTAACCCGGACTTCAATCTACTTTATTCTTTTTCATGAAATACTTTAACATTACGGTATGTCTCCTGAGGTAAAAACTCGGTTCCATATCGATTTAAAAGACTTTCAGAAATTTGCGAACAAAGCAAAAATACATCGTATTAATAATGATATGAAATAACCTGTTCGCAAAATAAACAATCTGAGACGAAATAACATAAGGTATATTTTGGCAGCCTAGAAGCTTTCAGATCGCAATAACATATCCGTTTGATGATAAAAAGTCAGTAAAACCGAAAGACAACAAATATATCAATTAATGGAAAGTTCCATTCCCTTGACATTGTCATGCAGTGCCCAAAAAGATGGTAGTCTCCAGAGATCAATTTGCCGAAAGCTGAGATGAAATGAAAAATACATTTTAATAGTTTTTGTCCGAATAGCTATAAGCGAGCACTAGTCAAGACTCTGTACTATAGAGCGAAGAGAACATGTTCTGCAGAGAAACTAGAGGAAGACTTTATGATTCTCGAAAAGGTGTTGAAAAACAAAAGTTATCCTCAAAGATTCATGAACAAATATGGAAGATGTGATGGCTCAGACATCAGACAAGTCACATTTAAGAAGGCCTGTCTTCATTCAACTACATTTTAAAGGGGAAAACATTGCAGCCATGGTCAACAGAAGACTGAGCACGTCACCGGGAAGAGCCTATCCTGCAGCTAAGTTGGTTCCCGTCCATCGAACAAGATGCTCTTTGGTGCAGTCAAAAGTCGACAGATACTCTTCTCAAGTTAACTCCAACTGTATGTACAAATTTACGTGTATCTACGGGAGTAGTTACATTGAGAGAACAGAAAGAAGGGCACCCCCCTAAATTTCTGAACATGTGCCAAAAAGTCTACGTTTCAAGGAAGCAAATTCTTCAAAATTCATCAAGGGGAATAAATGCACGACATTAATTAAGGCAATGAAATGATTACGTAATTATTATTTATCTGATGTTTCTCAATGTAGCCTTCCTTCTTGGTTTAAAACACCTCTTAACACTTAAAAACTGGTGTTTTATTGAGTGTCTGTTCGATGAACTAATTTCGTTGGTGTCTCAGCAATGGAATGCTCACCAGCCACGCACGTGGTCCGAGGATCGATCCTCGGCCGATGCACTCCTAAACTGAGCCAAGCCAGTAGTAAGCCCCGTAAAGATGGAAGGTTGGGCATGAGGCTGGCAACCCCACTCCGTAAAAATAAAACAAAACCACTGCTATTGAAACTTCATACCTCTAGTTTGAAGCCCTGTGTTCCAATCAGAACGTAAATGAATAAAATTAAAAAAATAAATAAAATACCTATTTGATAATAATCACCACATCCATTCTGAGTCATGTTAAACTGTACCCTCTAATGGATACAAGATAGTAAGAAGCACTTTTTAGGAGTGTGCTGAAATTTAAAGAGTTAAATTACTTATTATGTGCAGGTCGCTATCGTTTGACACTTTGAAATGAATATTGCGCATATCTTAGCAATATTTTAATTTCGCTTTTTTAATTCATGCAAACTGATTATTTCTAAAATTGCTGGACGAAAATTGACTCCACCAACTTATATTCTACAATGTTAAGTGTTATTCTATCTTATATTTGTAAAATAATGCTGCCTAACAGGTGTCTTGGATACTAGTTCAACGTATCTCTCAAGCTTTTAGTTCGAAAAAGTCACCATAACTAAAAACTACTTCTTCGCCATTATCCATTCAGACATAAATTTAAATGCTCATAGGCTTGGAAAGCAACACATTAAATGTATTTGTATTCTGCCTGACTCAACTCACTAATGTTTATCAGCTTACAAAAAACAAAATAGCCTCATAAATTTTAAGTGGTCAAATAAAAAGTCAGTAAAAGTTTCAATAATCTAATGAATTAGATATTTCTAGATTTTTATGTAGAAACTACATTGAAACATATTCACACATCATCGTATGTCGATTCATTATTTCTCTTTTTTTTAATCGTTTGTTCTCTGTTGAAAGATGAGACCGGAAATACGAAAAAATGTCTTTCATCTGTGTTGGAGCCTGCGATCGACTCCAGTTGACAAGGTGAGTTGTACTTTCGTGATATCGAATTAAAAGAATTGAGAATTAACCGTGAAAGAATGACAAACTCCCTTACTTGCTGTAATTGTGAAGTGATAAAAAAGTAATAGAGTATTGGTAGTTGACTAGTTTTCTGTTACCACTAACAACTTTGAAATGAAATATGCTGCAATGCGAAAACAAAAAAGAAGTTTCACTTTCGCTGAAAAGGCAACACTTGTACGCGTATACGCACTTCTATATTTTGGTTCACTTCAGTAATTTGTTTTGTGTACACATTCCAATTTAGGTCTTGGTGTGATTTCCGCTGAGAATCGTAAAATCATTCCTTATTCCTTATTTATGTTAAATGAAAACCAATTTAATGTCGAAAGAAAGATGGAATATTAGAGAGCACAGCGGTTAGGACTCTCGCCGACCATGCACATAGTCCGTGGTTCGATCCCCGGCCGACGCACACCTGATATCAATTGGTCGGCCTGCAAAATTTGGGCTGCCAATATCACATACTGAAAATTCCATACTAGTACCAGAAATACAATGTGGAATCAAGCTATAATCAAGAATAAAGAAAGAATATTTAGCGGCGTAACAAAATATGGCAGAAAAGTTAGACTTCACTCAGAGTTATCACTGAAATTTTGATACAACATTGCATTCATATGCAACTGAGGTGTTATGGAAACAAAACTGAACTTTATCTTAAGATGTAAAAGTGTCGCTTATTCACCGATAGAGACAAGAGAACACGAAGTTCAGCAAAGATGTTGATCTTTTCGGCGATTTCATTTCCAAAAGTTGTACAATCTCATTTAAATATATAATTTTACAGATATACCACTTTTAGTTGATTCCACATAATTACGAAGGCGAATAAAAGGTGACAATTATTTTCAACTAGATATGGTTAACAAGAGCCTTAGAAACAAAATTACACAGGATTAGAACGAATTACAGGTGTATAGAAAATGAGCATGGAAACAAAATTGAAATAAACATTTTCAACTTGAAATGGAAGTTAGGAGGTGTGAGTATATATAACAAGAGCCTTAGAAACAAAAATTGCACAGGATTAGCATATAATTGTAAAATACTTATTTTAAATGAATTATAAATGTGAGCAGGAAAAGCATGGAAACAAACTTAATAAAACTTTTCTTATAACTGAAAATATGGGTGAACTGAATGAAGACAGAGAGAGTAAGAATCACACACACAGAGAGAATGAAGAAAAGATCAAAAAAGAACGAAAGAAAAAAAGGAAGCTAAGGGAACACACCGAACACCGAACTAGGTTCATAGTAGTTGTAGTAATGTTCTCTAACACATTTTGAAAAGATCAGCATACAACGACCTATGTACCTAGCTCCGCATTAGCAGGTGAACTGGTGTGTGCACACTGAATTGGTCATACGTGAGAGTTTGTCCTTCGCATTGTTTCGAAGTATTGGCTGCTAGTGTCACTCTTAGTGTTGCTGCAGGGAAGGTCTTCTTTAAAGAAATGGATATTCCCCTCTTTAGGATATCGGCTGCAAATCTCCCCTAAAATTCAGGTTCATATTCACTGTTATATTGGTAGTGAGATAAACGGAGTAGTACTTCAATAAATTATTTAAAATAATCCCAGAGTGTTTAAGAAAAAATGAAAACAAAGTTTTTTTAACGTTTCGCTGTGTAAGCGACAGCTTCTTCATCAGAACTCTTAAACACGCTGGGTTTATTTTAAATAATTTATAATGCTTTGAATTTGACTCGGCGCTCAAATTATTCCAGGAAATTCGTAACATCTACGGTCTGGAAACTTATAATCTTATTAAAGTAGCACTTTTCGTTACAATGAATATGCAGTCGAAATACTTTGAAGTATACAGAAACTAACATGTATAATTATGCCTAAACCAAAACGCTTAAGTGAATATATCTGCTGATCGTTGGCAACAAAATAAAGAGAATATATATGCTTAAAATTGACTATTGAAACAGATTATCGTACTGTATAATTCTGAGAATCAAAACATGATGATGAAGCATGACGAATCAAATCAACATAACTGGCTGGAGACTTCCATTCATTGTTTGCTTGAAGTTGTTGCAAAATAAATGTAAACGACAGTAAATTATTTTGCTGCCAAACGATATCTACGTTTCATACTACTGTAACAATTTCAACAGGAACAAGTTCCATTTAAATTTGCCTGAATATATCTAAATACACTAACCACCTAGTGTCTACTTCGATGCTTATTTTGGTTGTAGATTTTTCCCTGAGAGTTTTGTTTTGTTTTCATGGTTTATTTTCTAAACAGGCTATGCACGAGTTAGTTGTTTACTTGGAATCGAATATAAAAACATTAAAAAATAATGTCTCGAGTAATCTGTTGCAACGTTGTTTACTGTCTATATGGCATGAGTGTTTAGAACAATATATTGAACAGACAGTTAAAGAGGCTGAGATTGGATCGAATAGTGTTGGTGGTCCTGGAGCCTATTTACAGTTAAAGCCAAATTTTAATACACTAGAAAATTGTTCAACTGTTATCCCGTTGTCTACACATGAAATGCATGAAATTGTGCCCAATTTACCAGTGGATATTGATAAAAATCAAGTGTTTCGAGCGAAATCAACTTTAGAAAGATTGAAAAAGTCACTAGGCATCTTACTTGATTTTTTCTATAAAAATAGTGATGATCAAATAACTAAAGGAGATCTAGAAACAGAAGAGTACCATGTAAGTTTATTTGCTTAATTTTCTAAACATTTTTTTATTCTATTTTATTCCTTTGACTGACTGACTGGTTCCAACATAAAGCTTTTCACAGATGTGCAGCAGTTCGAATCTCTACACTCCCTCCTTGTAGCACACAAAGCAAGTGAAGAGAGGATGAGGAGGTTCAAAAGACAGGTAATACACAGACATGTAAGGAAAAAAGAATAGTGATATGGAAAAATGATAGTTTTATTGGATATGAACAAAGCAAGAACTGCAGTTTTATTGGATATGATAGACCACAAAGAGTGAATGTATCCTTGCCATCGTTGAGAACGATTTTGAGGTATATCACCAATTGTGGCTAGCCATTGGTTCTTAGCATACCAAGAACCCCAAACAATCAGGCAGTCTACACTTCCCGACGTGCTTTACATTAACTGTGGATTTCATTTACTGATGAAGCCATGTTTTTCGTTTGACCACCAGTAACTGTTTTCCATCTTAACCCTATGTCAGTCAGTCAGCCAACATTTCCCGTCAAGGTAGGCGGTCGATGGCTAAGACTGCTTGCGTAATACATGCCCTATACATCTCAGTGGGTGTAACTTGATAACGTAGTCATCAATTGATTTCCCCTCCTTAATTAGCACTCGACTGATGCCTAACCTCAGTATCGCTCACCTTATTTTACCACCTAATACAGAAGGTAGAGCGCAGACACCCATGATCACAGACAGCTGGTCTTTTAATGCCTTCCCCTTTCAATAGCCAAGTCTCACAGCCATAAAGGAGGACGGAGCGGACTGCTGAGCAGTACGCACGCCCTTTGGCTTACAGCAGCATATCACGCTCTACCACTTCACCCCCTGACGTTGATGTAGCATCATCTAACATTTGACAGAGAAAACAAATCGCATGCCAAACATTTGAAAGTTGCTGCTCAATATGTTCAGAAGACTCTGCATTTTTCCAGCGTCTTCACCTAAGAGGGAGGACTATATCATTTGCATATCCTAAGTCAACAACATCGCACCCTGGTAACATAATAATCCCTGAATTGCTGAAGTCAGTTAGGGTTAATTCCATTAGTACATCTATGATGAAATTAAACAGAAATGGGGACAGTGGGCATCCCTGACGGATTCCTCTACTTTCTGAGTAGAACATAGGGCTTCAAGCTAGAGCTTTGAAGTGTCGACAGCAGCATCTTTTTTTATTTTTGCGGGATGGGTTTGCTAACCTCGCGACCTCTTTACCGGAAATCCTACCGGCTTATTGAGGCACAGGAGAGCAAATAATTACTCGTAAATTCAGACTAATTGTATATTACAATACAAAAACACTTTAATTCATCTAATCTTTATGACGAACTGAAGAAAACACACTACTAGACTACATATGATAAGTATATCTGAGGCGACTTAATATCATTATTCCAGATAAATATCTTATCCAGGGTATCTCTCATCTAGTCAATGTGTAGTAGAGGAAGTTAAATGCTTATATGTAAGAAAGTTTTCACCTTCAGTTGACACTGTCTGAACAAACAATATGCGAGCCGATAAGACCATATAAATTTATTGTCCCAATTTAATACTAGTTAGTGGTTATCACACTTAAAACATACAGAATGAAATTCAGTAAATGCTATTACATATTAACAGGTCACGGGATTGCATAAAACTCAGTTAGCTTCTGCTTTAAATCAATATGTACTTGCGTGTTATCACGATAATCTATGACTTTTATCCTAGTGTCAACTTCGAAAATTAATGTACTTATTACATTTAGCTGCACCAATACAAAAGACCCTACCTCTGTTTGTTGAGTCTGTTACGATCAAATAGATTAAGCCATAGATGCAGTGATAGTGTAAGCGACCAGACATTTCGCTCAATACCTCTTGCTTCATAGAGTCACGAAAATATGGGAAGACAAAAGCTGGTCTATGGATTTAAGGTAGTTTTTACTAGACAAATATATATATATTTCCAGTACAAATAAATCTACAACAGACCGATGTTAAAACAACCGATTCTGATTGGCTATATGAAATCGAACATTATCCGATAAATTTATCATGCCCATTTAAGAACAAAAATCTAAATTTGGAATATAACGTCTTTTACCATAATAGTTAGTGACTTAAACTATTGATTTTAGTTTTAACCACATACACATTGTAAGGTGTGCATATTTATCACGTTTATACCCGACAATGTTGAAGTTAAAATTACTCAAAACCTTTAGAGAATAATTGACTTCTTTCAAATTTTTTTTATTTCAAATCTTCCAGAATGTTCACTATTTAATTCAGTTATATAACAGCAGCACCCCGGAGGTTGTTGAACAATATTTTATTGAAAAACTTCAAGAGCAAGTAAGATGTCTTCATATTCATCTGCCCAAAGTATTATTAATTTTACATATTGGACTATATAAGCCAATCTGCTAGAATGACGTTTTTTCTCTGAAAAGAAAATGCCATCCAAAATTAACCAGTAATATGAATACCAAATGGAACTAACATTTCATAATAAATCTGTATAAATGCTTATAAGAAAGTAGATATCTACATTCATTTTCAACTCTCTCAAAGGAGGTACTTTAGCATCTATATTCTAAGATATAGACATTCAGCATCATTACTTACTATTTTAGAAATATCCTTTCCATGTAAAAGCAATGAAAGCGACTTTTGGAATGAATATTTGCGAATAAAAGTGAAAATTCCACTCACTTTTAGGAAACATATACGTAGATTCTTCATTAAAACCACAAAAAAGGAGAGAAATTATTATTGTTTCATTTAATTCCTAGAGGAACATAGAGACTCAGCCGTGCGTCTCCATTGCGTTTTGTTCTCTGCTAGAGTCTTCACCTGGCTCCAAGTCTGCACACACGTTTTCATCTCCTCTTCACATGACCTCATCCAAGTCACCCTTGCACTGACGACCAACTCGCCGCTTCCAACAATCGGGTTCCACTCGAGCAATGGCTTGTCTAGTGATGTCACTTGATGGTTTCCTCAGAGTATGGCCAATCCATCTCCATTTCTTCCTGCCTATTTGTTTCATAATCGGTTCCTGGTTGGTTCGCTCCCAGACATCCTATGCTGTTGCTGATCTTTTCTGGCCGGCCATCTGATCTTGAGTATTGGACGAAGACAACTGTTAATGAAGTTTTGTAGTTTGTTTGAGATGCTCTTTATGACGCGCAGTGCAAGTCTCTGATCCGTATAGTGAGTAGCACTGACTTCACATTGGAGTTGAAAATCCGGATCTTATTTTTGATGCTGAGTGCTGTCTGTTGACCTCCACACAGACTTGAGAGTAGTGAAAGCTTGTCTTGCTTTTCCGATTCTTGCTTTGATATCCTCGTCAGTTCCGCCTGTATTTGAAACGATGCTTCCCAGTTAGGTAAAGGAGGTTGTTTCTTTCAGGTTCCTTCCATTTAAGCTGATTGTTGTCTGTTGTTGCTGTTGGTGGTGTTGCCCAAGAATCTTCATCACCTCTGTTTTCTCTATGTTCACCCGAAGTCCTATCTTCTCTGGATGCTTCTTCTGCTAGCTTCTTGCTTTTCGCTTGCATATCTTCCAGTTTGTGGGAAATCAGACATATATCATCGGCGAAGTCTAGGTCCTTCAAGTTACAATATATTAATATCCATTTGAATTTACTTGGGTCATTATATGCAGGTTTATAATTTCTTTTAAACTCCGTGACTAATCCATACGCTCGTTATAAAATGCCACGAAAACAAATCCAGTTAAAGCCTTCTGAAACATTTTCCATCGGTAAAATTACTTTGTCACCATCAATTATGACTGATTTCATCACCCTGCACTAAACTCAAGGATTTATAATGGAATGGAATGTCCAGTCTCTGCAGTTATTTAGAAGTAAACAGGCCTCCATCTGTTATTGTTAACTTCCCGAACCACTACTTTATCAGACTGTTGCCTACTGGTTAACAAGTTGTCAGCATGGATTAGTGGTAAGGCAACGCTTAGTAGAAAAAATAACTTGATAAACTGACATGGGATAACGCAAGTACGGTCTTGACTTTATTAGTTCCCACTGAATACAGGGGATTGACTTTCAGCACACAATATGTCATACGCTATAACTCACTATCTCTAAATGTTTTCATCAAGTACTAGTATCATAACAATGTAACCACTTTATAGCACATTGTGTACATAAAAGATGTTCGTACAGTCGTCTCGTCCTAGTTTAAGGCTTATTATCAGCCTGTTGTCGCTTGTTATTTATATTTGTAGCTACAACTGTGGAGGTTTTCAAAATAAAACTGAGTTATGTCAAGAAATTATAACCAGTATGATTCCAAACTAAATGTTCACTTATTCATTTTTTAAACAACGTTCAAGCTTTACTTTACGTCAAAATTTCAAATTGATAACTCTGCCTCACTCAGACCTAACTTTTCACTCGTAACAGTTCTGTTTACTACTCACTGAAAAACAATTGATGAAGTTAAAATCTGTTAAGTTTTAAAGATGAAATCTGTTTTAAAAAAAATTAAATTGTTGACAATATGAGGGTGATTTCAAATAGTAGAAAGTCTACGTATATTCGAGTTTCAATAGACATAAAACTACCAACACGAATGAATGTTCAATGTATTGAACAGTATCCAGGAAAAAGAAAGGACTGGCAAGATTCTTTCTTATAGCTATCAAAAGACAAAAATAATGGAATCTGTATTGGATGATTTCTAAGAGGACAAAATTTCTAATCCACGTTTTCATACACTGGAACTTTTAATGATTGTCATTTTTAACTTGTGCATTAAGTTTTATGAACTTAAATTACCTAATTTCTGAAAAATACTGCTGAATACTGTATTTATTTTAGACATAAAACATTCACCAGAAAAGTAAGATAGATTAATAAGCAAAAGATATTATTGGTGAAAAGCACTTATATCCTTTAAAGATTCAAAAGAGTAAACCTGCTTTTCAGATAGTATTTCGTTGTATCATTAATCAGCAGAAAACAGGCCATTTACTTCTAAATAACGGAGTGGCTTTAAGCTTAGCTAGTGACCTGACAATCTCGGGTTCCTCCCTGCTTGAAGTGACAGGTTCTCATTTCTAAAATATCTACGTTCGAAACAAAATATCACTCCTGTGCACCTACATTGGCAGTAGCTCTGTGGGCGAATCTAAATTCCAAACAAAGTTTATCTAAAATATATCGTCGAGATAAATATAATATTCGTTGGTCTGTGAAGTAACAGTAGGCACAGAAACTTGGGAACGATATTCGGTTGAACTGCATTTATTCAGTAAAGAACTTGTCTTGCTAACGAACAAATCTATGTTAGCACAAATCAGTCGCTTTTTTCGTCATATTTTAGTAACATAACCGCACAATTATTTCAGGGGATTCAAACTAAACACAATGATATCACTGTTAAGACATTTTAAAGGGTAACATTGCTGACAATGCTGGTAAGGGTGCTTACTTCATTCCTTTCGAGACTCGCCATCTGACATCATGCGTGCTTCAATAACAAAATGATACTCTCAGTGAAATATGCACTCAAAACTTAGTTAAATCCATTAGGATCTAAAGTCAAGATATCTACTTTTCGAGTAACAGTTACAGTTTTACGATTCTTTTTCTTTTTATGAAACCCTATATTTCTACATTTTGTTGAGATTACGTCAATCACTTCGTGCTGATATATATTTCCTTGAATTTGCTTTTATTCCTTCACGTTCCCTGTGGAACATAGAGCTTCAAGATAGAGGCTTGAAGGGTCGGTAGCACTGGTGTTTCTTTTTACGGGTTGGGGTTGCTAGCCTGATACCCAACCTACCCTCTTTACCACGGACTACAGGAATGGTTGGCGAGCATTATACCACTGTGCCGCCGACGCACTTTCCTTGAAAAGATAACTTTAAACTGTTTTTTATTCCATTTTCACACTTTTGATAAAACTATACATGCTATTCAGTTACAAGTTTATTTTTATTTTATTTGAATTTGCATAGCATTTAGCTGATTCAAGAAAAACAATTCACTAATAAATGAAACTGTTACCATGATTATTGTTGAGATCTATTCATTACGTGGAGAATTTTTACTAAAAGTTAGTATATGTGGCATGACTTCTAGACATCCATTTCTGTGGTGTAGGTTTTCCACTTTTCATTGTACCAAACTGTTAGTTGGAGATCGCAGTTAGGTACTGGCCAATGAAATCACGTGTGATTGCTTCAATATTAAAAAATTCACTACAGATCTGAAGTATTTTCAGCTTGCCTTGTCATCCTAATCTCTTTTACATTACAATGTGAAATGTCTCCACCATTTATTTTTCTATTTCTTACAGTTTCTTACTGGACATTATCATATTTTGAAAGCTAATGAAACATTCGTCGGAATTAGTGCACTAGTCATTTTGTAGCTCAAATTTACAATAATGGTATCTTTACCGTAGTGCATAATTCTTTCCTTTACTTGTCTCTGCCCATTCAGGAATTAGCCTGTTCCTCATCATATGGTAAACTGACAGTTAAAGTTAGCTATCAGCGCTCAACATTACATGTAGACATACAACGAGCTAAGAATCTTGTACCGCTTGACTCCAATGGTAAGTTCACTATTCAACTTTGTTTTTCACTTCTTGCGTTTCACGTGGAACATGGGGCTTCATGTTTTTCTTTGAGTTTTATTAGCTGTGGTATTATTTTACGCTACAGAGTTACTTGCCTCACACCCAACCTATCCTCTTATCTGAACTTATCTGAACCTTCCAGTAAACTAGATGAGGTTTAACAACGTGTTGTCTTAGAATGGAATCGGGATTATGTGACTGGTCGACAAGCATTCAGGCATCGAACTACTGACTCACCAAACTGTTCATTCAAAGAGGGAGAAATTCAATTGTTCTGAAAATTTGTTCGTTAAACTTAAGTATTTTATTATCTTTTTAGATTCGTTATGAAATATGCTTTTTTCTTCTGCGTATAATAATTTCTGTTAAGTTGACTTTCAGTCAGCTGGATAAACTTTTAAACCATTTACTTGTGATAGAAGTGAAATCACCATTATTCCGATATCATATGTTGTAAAACTTTCGAACTTATTTCATCTAAACTTGACCAGGCAGTAATACACTGTGCTATAATTTATGTCTTTATAAACTTACTCCTGAAGAAAAACTTTCGAAACCTTGAATTTATCATTGATTTTCGATGGATTACAATTCTAATTGGCAAAAGAGTCATACTGCATTAAAAAGGATTTCCAGAAGAAGGATACTATGAAAAAAGGGAAAAAACTCATTTTCCAAGTAGCAAACCATCCTATTCTAACAATCTAGAGTAGAAATTTCTTTATCCTCTGAATTATGAACTAATACAGAAGTAAGAAAATTATTACAAATCATATCTAAACAATATCTGATGAAAGAAATATTATTATCAATATTATTATTATTATTTCCTTTAGTTCCTAGAGGAACATAGGGACTCAGCCATACGTCTCCATTTCGTTCGGTTCTCCGCCAACGTTTTCACCTGGCTCCACGTCTGCCCACATGCTTTCATCTCCTCTTCACCTGACTTCCTCCAAGTCACCCTTGGACGGCTAACTCGTGGCTTCCCGTTCGGGTTCCACTCGAGCAATGGCTTGTCTAGTGATGTCACTTGATGGTTTCATTGCTCAGAGTATGGCCAATCTATCTCCATTTCTTCCTGCCTATTTGTTGCACAATCGGTTCCTGGTTGGTTTATTCGCTGCCAGAGATCCCTTTCGCTGATCTTTTCTGGCCAGCCATCTGATCTTGAGTATTGAGCGAAGACAGCTGTTGATGAAGGTCTGTAGTTTGTTTGAGGGGCTCCTCATGACGCGCCAAGCCTCTGATCCGTATAGTAGCACTGAAAGAAACATATCCACAACTTTTCCAAGGTTATATGTCCAATGTTAACCGATAAGTGAATTCTCAAGATTTGATGAATTTAGGCGACAGCGTAGTTCTTACCTATATGAAATTTATTTAAACATATACGAAAGGTACAGATTAAAAGTGTTCATCAGCTAACGGACTACCTTCAAGAAAGATTCTGTCCACTGTGTTAAAAAATTTCCTTTAAGCGTAGTATTTGATCCTCTGAAACATCTTTTTGTATTGATATGTATTAAAGTACAGTTTGTTCTAATAAATAATATCATGAGGGAAAAGTTGTCTTCACTGTTCATTATCCAAGAGAAACTTTGAAGTAACACTCTGAAATAAGAATGATAACCAGAAACGTCTTTTGTAAATTTCATTAAGAAACAATAAATGGTGATCGTCCACTTCTAAGTAATTGTTTTTAAAGAGGATGAAATCTGAATTCAACTGAACAAAATCGGTTTACCAGAAAATTTGAGGTTTTTATTCTCCCAAGTACTTTGTAATTCACTTTCAACAGAATTAATTTCCCAGAGAAAATATTTACCGTTCGATTTTTTTCTTACAGCTCTTGGCAGGATAATGTTATCAGTAGTGACGAGCACACGAAAATATACTTTGATTGGACACTAGCAACTAGTGTGTCATGTCTAGTCATTGTTTGGTGCGGACTGAATTCTGTCAGTCAGCTTTGCAATGTGGCCACCATTCTAGGTAGCTTGCCATCAAGGTACACATTGATTTGTTGATATTAGATGGTTAAAAGTAATCGACTGAAAGCCTTGCTTGACCTAGGTTTCGTTCTAGTTGGCACTCGTCAGCAAGAATGGTGGCCAGATTGCAAACCTGACTGATAGAATTCAGTCTGCAGCAAACAAAGGACTAGCTAGACACATCACACTAGTTACTAGTGTCCAATCAAAGTATCCAATACAGTCCTACAGGAGGTCAAACGCAAGCCCGAATAGCTCAGTGGTAACGTCTTTGACTGAAGCATTGGGTGACGCGGGTTCGAATCTCAGAAGGGAAATGGGTTCCATCCAGGCTGCAGATATGCCTTGCTGACTGGTGAGTGCCAACTAGCACGAAACCTAGGTCCAAGGCTTCCTGCCGATTGCCTCCAACCATCTAAGATCAACATGAAAATATAAAGTATAACTCAAACTTTATCTGAAACTGGTCGCATTTACTTGTGGTGAATGACATTCATTCACACAGGTCACCATAAAGTTTTGGAACATCGAAAGTAATAGATGACATATGAGCAAGGTAAAAACGTTTAATAGACATTCCTTTACAAGTGACAAAGTGTGTTCAAATATTCTATTTTTTGTGTTTATCAGATGAAAAGCAACTAAACTACTGTTTTTTATCTGAAAGGTTTATCGGATCCATTCATAATTATTGAACTATTACCTAAACATTTGTTTTCTGAGACTCCAAAATCCTCGAGAACAAAGATTGTCAAGAACACAGTTGATCCTGTGTTTGATGAACATTTTGAATTGTAAGTGTTTGGCGTACTTTCTTTTTTTGTGTTATTTTTCGATGGATTTTGTCTTAGAGAATACTATTCATGGGGCTAATACACTTAAAGAATATTTCGCTTGATTTATGTATACATCGCTAAATGACGAAAACAACCATTTATATACAGATTAGTCACTTAGAATTTCAGTGAAAAATACCACACTTTACAGTTGAATGTATCTATCTCAAATCTTAAATGGAGTATGAATTTTTACAAAAGTATCAGATACTACTGAATGATGAACTTGAAGTCTAAAGTGAGCAGTTATCAACCGCATAACTTCAAATAATTATCACGCATGCTGGCGTCTCAAGAAAATATTAGGAAACATAGTATTTGTTCTTAAGGGAAAAGTCTTTTCTTGTGTTTAGCTTACTGCTGCAAAATGATATTAATCCAATCATAAAAGTACTGAGCAATATTGGGTTGAATAAAGTTTACTCAACGTTGAGTGATGAGTAATCGTTAGATGGGAGTTGTATTCTAATCAGGTATGAAATATAATCGCTATGTTAGGTGATACATCACTGATCTGCATATTTATAAAAATTCTAGTTATTGGTTAGGACTCTGAAATATATACGAATGGGTATTTCCCCATATTCGATGATAGTTTTATAAAATTTATACAAAAGTGAATCAATCTGCTTTTTAAGAGTATGGAAATTAAGCATTTAGAACAGATTTTCAATATTCTTAAGAAAATTTGAAGGTGGTGATTATCTACAGTGAGTGATTTCTTATTTAGGCATTGCTGCTATTTAAATTTAGGCGATACTGAGAATTGTGGAAATAAGTTTGATTAAGTCTCGGGTGCTCTTTTGCTTTCATTTCGATAAACAAATGACTGAAGGCACCGTTGAATGGTATCGCCTTATTTAAAATGATTTTCTTGAGAGATTATAGATGTCCTCATTAAGTTAACATGTACGTTGATTAAGTTCTTCTTAACAAAAAAAACAAGTTCCCCGAACTTATTTTTTATTCCTTAAGGTTCCCAGTGGAACATAGGGCTTCAAGTTAGAGGCTTGAAGTTTCAGTAGCAGTGGTGTTTATTTTTACGGAATGGGGTTGCTAGCCTCATGCCCAACCTTCCCTCTTTACTAGTCTTATTACTGGCTTAGTGAGGTAAAGGAGTGCGTCGGTGGTCGGAAATCGAACCCTGAACCACCTGCGTGGTTGGCGAGTATTCTACCACTGTGTCCCCGAATATGATTCCCCAAATAAGAGATTTAGCCCACTGGCTTAAGAACTTGTCTTTAAGCCAATGAATGGTTCCAAGGTTTAAATCTCGTCCTACCTACTTCAGATTGAGGAGCCAGGTAGTATCATTAGTCCGCATACATTCACTTTATTCGGACAGAGTGAAATGAAATTTTCACCAGTAATCATATTTTTAAAATAATAATATACAGTCTGTTTGCATCAGTCTCACTATTGTCCGTGTGCATTTCGTGATGGTTAGTAACACAATACAGGGTACTATTAATGTTTGCGCCTGCGTAATCGACTTGATGATGCACTAAGAATGTCAGTAAACATTATGACAAAATTAGGCTTATCATATTTAAATGACAATTATGCGTTGAATTTAAATGGCCAGTTATCATCAGACTATAACTTGAAAAATATTCGATTTCACATGTATATATTAATATATATATATATATATATATGAAATCGTACACTTGCTTATCACAAGATGATTAAAAATTATTTGTTTATTTTACCGAATTAAATGAATGCATGAACTTCAGTGAACATAATGGTTTGTTAGTTCGCGCATTGACTGGAAGGTCATTAGGTCAAATATGTTGTACGATGCACTCTAAGATACGCATAACAATGACCATACATGAAGAAATGCGTAGTTCGGTTTGATATGTTACAACCGATATGTTTTTTTTTATGTAGATTAGTGAGTGATTATTTTTATTGAATGATGTGCGTAAAGATTCCTAGTGGCCAGTGAAGGATAAATTAACACACCGGGAATCAGTGTAATTAAAAACCATATGTCACTCTCTATAAATACTAAGAAATGCAGACAAGATTTCATAGGCGTATTCATGAAATGAAAAAAGAGAATTGCCTACTTACTGTATATGCAACAGAAAATATTTAAAACAGCTGTGGGCAGGCTGTGTCGAATATCCTGAATTTTCACTAACTACTAAATCTTAACAACCTAATTGGTGTAATTGTAGAATATATGAAGAACCATAGAAAAAATAAGATTAGCAATAAAAATGATGAATATATCGAAAATAAATGTAAAATTCAAAGCCTCTGTAGTATTGCTGTTTAAAAAGGGAACATAAGTAGTCTTACGTAGAATTCTCAATGACGCTAGAATTAGGGTGGTATTTTAATCAACCAACCAACCAACTCTCGTAGAGAAAATCTTTGTCGGCTTCAGGATCCAATAGATCCAAGTGAGAAGAAAATAATATAATTTACCAAATACCATGTCATGCTGACTGTGGGGTCAGTTACATAGGTCAAACTAGTAGATCGTGGTCAATTATTTTATTGGAAAATAATAATTCAGCTAGACCCTGCTAATATAGAAGAAAGCTCAGCCGTTGCATTGTATTCACCTGCATGTAATCACACATTAGGTTGGGTCGGACGGGGTGAGAGGTTAATCACTCAAGCTTTGTTTATCAATTCAACACATGCATCGGAATGACGCAACACCTATACCGGAGATATGAAAAGTAGCGACAAACAACAAAGGGAAGTTGGAGAGACAGAAAGAGAGGAAAAATATATTAGGCAAATTGTGCAACCGTGTGACTAAAACTAATATGATTATGAGTGGCAATAATTTATGCTCGAAACCTCGTCATCGAGTTGTTCATACTGTATCACAGTGTGGTATTTAAAACAAACTTATGTAATAAAGGTCTTAACAGCCTACTTCATTATTCCGATTAAACAGTAGTATGAACCACAGTCATGTAGATTATTATGTACTTTTGAGTAATGTATCAGCGAGCACATTAACATAATACTAGTTAAGTATCATTAATACTATCATGTTCATGGGATAAAATAATACTTAGGGAAAAATTTTAGCAACTTAAGACCCCTATTGATTTTGCTTATCAGTCGCTTGTATATTAAAGTAAACGGTTATTCACGGAGAATTCCCATTTTAGGAAATGTAGAAAATGAAAAGTAGTGTTTCAACCATTCAACTGTTTTCAACGAGTTTATTGTCAAGCCGTAAAATTATATATGTATATATATATATATTAGATATTTTTGAAATAATGTTAACTGAAACGTAATACCTGTGATTATAATCATAGTTAGGTTACGTAATATATGAAATAAATCACGAAACTGATAAATAAACTTCACAAAGTAATGTGGAATTAATATGATCAGTATGCGAATAAAGCATTACTTAGAAAGGTATTAATTTTGAAAAGGTAACATTTCGAAAAGATATGCGGAATAAAATAAATAAAGGGTGACAAGTATGGGAATACCGGAAGTTGTTCTAAGTGAAAATAATCATAATACTTAATCAGAATAATAAGAGGTGAATATGCAAATTAATGAAACAAGTTGAACAATAATATAGGTTCTGTGGGGAGACGATTTTTATTCCCCTTGATGAATTTGAATAAAGCGACAACAACTGTTGTTCTTGCTTTATTCGAATAATATAGGGTCAGAGGAGTAAGAACACAAACTACAGTAATTTAATATAGACGGATTAAGACGATGAAAGATGGAGTGGATGAGTAAAATTCGTTTTCATACGGGAACCTAGCTTCTTTTGTTGGAATTCACATTGGTATCTCAAAAAATCACTCATAGACAATTGTAGATGGTTATCACAGAATTATGGTATTTTTCGACCTAACCCTTAAATAGTTTTTAAATATGTGGTCAAGAAGAAAGCAGGCTAATAAAAGGGGATAGTATTCAAGAATTCTTGACCTTTAGTGAGTGTTTCCTTCATAAAAAATTGTTTATAAAACCGACTAATGTACGCAAGTAAGTAATTAAACAGTACTGAACTTCATGATTCCATGCTGATAACGTCTACCTGTTTATCTACCTGCCTGGTTCTGTTTCCAACATTACCTAGCTCACAGTTGACAAAGTATTCTATAAATTAGAACAAATTTCTTTTAGTAATTCATTCTACATGCATCACTTTTTATAGTTCTGTTACACCTGAAGAATTACAGCATCCAGCTGCTTGTCTAGCATTTACTGTTATGGATCATGATCTGATAATGTCAAATGATTTTGAAGGGTGTGTTTTTATTCGGCCGTCAGTAACTGTGAAAACACAAGCTGAGAAAGAAGCAAGTCCAGAGAATGCAAAACTTGTCTTCTCAACTACCCGATCTCAGAATCCATCTCCTAGTGAATATAAACAACAGCAGATATGTTTACCGTTAATACATCCAATTAGTAAAAGTGAGTGGATAGTTTCTTTTTTTTAATATTCAGTTTAACTTTAGAAGTTTCTCGCTGCACTGCAATTCACTTAATGCACAGAAAACATAAAAATCAGTAGCTAAGCAAAATAATAAGCCTTTGGATGAGAATACACTTATTATTTGAGAGTTGTCTTCTATTAATTATTAGATAAGTTTACATAAAATATTATGTGTAAGCTGTTTCGTCCTAGTTTGGGACTCTTCATCAGTACGCACCCAATGCCAGGGTTCAAACTCAGGACATTCTGGTTACCAGGTGAGCTAGCTCGCAGACCACCAAGCCACCGGCCCATGAATTCCAACTTCCACCAATTCACGACATAGCACGACCGCTAGCCAGTGTCTTCGGAGAGTATTTGTTCTCATTTTAAACGGTAGATGGTGGAATACCGCTGCTTTGTGAGATTTAATTCAGTGTAATATTTAACAACTGATGTAAGAGAAAAGCTGTGCATACCTTTCACCTACTGATTCGTGTATCTAGCAATTAATTTCATTACTGAGTTTGTATAAGTGGATTTTAATTTTACAGTAGATGGTGGAAACATATTTTTGCATTGTTATCTTGTAAAACATCAGTAATACTGGCAGTATCTAACAGGTAATTAATATATATATATATTATTTTGATTACAGCTTTACAAGTATGGAATTTTCAGCATGGATATCGGTAGCCCAAATTTTGCAGGCCGACCATAGATATCCGGTGTGCATCGGCAGGGGATCGAACCCCGGACCGTGTGCATGGTCGGCGAGAGTCCTAACCACTGTGCCACCGACGCACACCTGTGTTGAGATGGGATTTAGGAGGAAGTGTATTTTTCACCCATCACTGGTTATTTTCAAAACTAACACCAGTGGGATCAAGACGCCTATTTCATAACATATAGAACTCTCCAAGTAGATTTATCTTAGTGTGATAAAGTGCACCTCATCAACGGAAGGCAGAATCTAGTCCTTGTTAAGCATCGCCGATATTAGCCGATGTTATAATGTAGGGTTATTTGCGGTTCAGTTTTTGGGAGTGATTTCTTTCGACCATATTCGACGCAGATAAGATCGAAGACTTGTTGTAGAACGGTAAAGGTACTTTTGCAGCTCTCTATTCAAGGGGAGGATAAATAGAAACTTATCATGGTAGAGAAAAAGCACTATAAAGCGAAATTCCATATTCAGAGGACCTGTATCCCAACGAAGTCACTGACCAAATACTTAGGGGATTCAAACACCTTTAAACAATTTAATTACATGAGATATTGAACTATTCAATTTTGTATTTCTTTAGAGAATGGTGCATTGGATGTTTTGGGTCAACGTTCGGATACCTATGCCCAGGAAATTTACAAACGTTGGAAAACTATAGAAGACAGTGAATTAAACCAATAATAAATAAGAAGATATTAAATCAGTAGAGCAAAACTTTGAGCATATAATGACATCTATTTTGTTTTTAATAATGACTTGAAATTTTACACTTTAAATTTACTATACAGTTACATTCTCATACTTATATTATGATATACAAATAAGGTATTCATTCATGTAACAAGCTTATAACAATACAACGAAACAAATTAACAGTTTGTTCAATGTTTTCATATTGAGATACATCATATATATATGAAGTCATTTATTTCTGATAAAAGTCTTCTCAACTAATAAACAATATGATCATAATGGAACTTCATAAAAGTTATGGATAAGTTCAACTACTATTGAATTGAGCTGTCAGCGTAAAACTTAACACGAAAGCTCAGCAGGTCAATTTCCCCCCCCCTCTCCATAGAAGCATATATAAAGGTAAGGAAAAGAAATACAACGAAGCTACACTAAATGGAATTTTTCCAGGAAAAAGAGTAATGTGAATTCGATGAATCTGGAAGAGCACAAAGAAAGAATGTATCGGTGTCATTGAGACTGATTTCGAATCATGCCCCTAATAGTCTCAAACCACTGATTTTCAGCGTCTCAAAAACTTCAACTAGGGAGTCTGCACTCCCTTAATTGGCTCAAAACAATAGTCAGACACCTCGTAATTGACGCCATCTTTCGGTTTGACCTATCCGCAACTCTTTTTGAATCCAACCCTTTATCGGCTAATATTTTTTTGTAGAGGAATGTGGTAACTTGGCATTCGTCACACCTTCTAGATGTATCAATGGATACAAATCGACACCCCATCCACCCCGAACACTCTACGTTAACTCTTTACCACACATGAGAGAGAGCGTAGATATCTGTCCACTGTCTGCTAGTCTTTCACTGGCAATGTCTCAAAACTGTGAAATAGAATGGAGCAAAGTAGTATACAGTTCACATGTATCATGCGTGATAGACAGATGACGACGCTGGCAAATACCAAATGAATCTCTTGTATCCACGCTGAGACTTTTTCATCAGCAGATCTGTGTTCAAATACACATATAGTATTCTGTTGCTAATGCTGTATTGAACTGTGGGAATAATATTTCGTTCTGTATCACACCACCACAATACTTCATCTTTAGAAATCTCAGTCTATATTACATTTTTAAACGTCACCGTACAGACCACTAAACTAGTTTACAAAACGAAGTAAAGTCAGTCAAATCGTATACCAGGAATATCAGTGAGTAACAGATAGTACCTTCAGACTTCTGAAAGGGTTTTCAGCATCGCAAACCCTGGGTTATGCATCCATCAATTTACTGCCGACTTCCTTCTTGACTACTGAGTTACCATAAGCATTACACCTAGTTAAGGGACATCCTACCGACTGACTGATAACACCAAATAGATTTGTGCTTCTCGCCTAGTTGGTTTTACAACATATTTTCTTACTGGCTTAATGATTAGATAGATCATTTGTATATGGATATACCTCTAGTTATGTTTAGTTCCGAGTATTAGTCATTATAAAACATAAGCTGAATTTTCAGATTTGTAGTAATTTCTTCATGACAAAATCCACTTAATGGAAAGCCATACACTGTGAGTAAGTATCGCATGAGTCATAAGAAGTGTAGCTGAATAACGTTTCAAAAGATTACACACATATATGAGATCTACATACATTCTAAAGCTAATCTAACCACTGTTTAGTTGGCTGTCTGATAAACAGAAACTTGTAACCAGAAGGTCCTGGGTTCGAAACCCAGTGGGTGCGTACTGCCGATGAGTCCAAGACTAGAATGAAACAGCTGTTAAGTACTCTCTGGTTTTCTGAATGACACCAATCAGTGGTCAAACACAACAAATCAACTCTTTTAAACAGAAACTGTTTAAGCAATTTGTTTGTGTGTGTTTTTTTTTTGCGAATTCACATAACTAGCAAACGCAGATTCCTACTATACTACTTTGAAACATATTGGTCTAAATGACTTTGTGAAACCGATAAATACAAGATCAAAAAGCCAGCGCTACGGTCAACACAGTTACAAACATTTTAAAAAGGGAAGGCATTATGTAAATTGTACTACATAAACATGGCACAAAAGTACATTCTAATGGCTTAAAATAGTCATACTTTCTCATCATTCACCCATGCATATCAATCTAACTATATTTCAAGGTTAATGTAAATCACGAATATTTCACTTAATTAGCAAAATTTCAATGTTGCACTGTTAGTTCTAATCATCTGTTGATTTTGGTTCTACAATTTTCTTGTGATTGGTGATTTTTTCATCGGTCATAATATATCCGGATTGACTTAGCTCAATGTACCGAATCAGTTTATACCGCCTGAATTCTGATTAGGTATTTGGGCGAATTAGTGTTACATAGAATCAAATTTGTCGTTTGCAAATTATACAGTTTGAGTCAGTTCAGATACAACTCTGATGAGCTCGATCACGAACGACTGGGACCACCTCCCTGTCCTCAGATCACTTCAGGATGACATGAGTGTTGTTTCAGACTACTCATATCAACCAGTAGTATGTACTACCATGCTATTTCACCTGCTTTCTTGATTACCGTTTATGGATGGTATCAAGAGGACTAGATTTTGTTACTTGAAAATTTCCTAATTACAAAAGGAAGCTGTAACGGATTCTCACCTAGAATTGTGTAATCTGCTAAAGCCGACCTGCATCACTGGAAATATTCTCTAATGAATGGTTTGAATTCAGGAAAAGTTGGGATTTAAATGCTGAATGCGATTTGACGAACGCCTATAGATATTCTAAAAAGTCATTAAAGCAGTGTTGATATTATCAACTTGACTGCAAGTATGGGTTGCAGTCTGAAATTCATTAAATAATAGACTGACTGACAGGCGTACAGGCCTAAGCAGGAGTGTATTCTTAAAAGTCGCCGCGCTCGGAAGCAGTACAACATATATGAAGTGATATTGCGGTAGGTAATGATCGGTTTACAGAAAATCTCTAAAAGAAGATTGGTGAATACGTTCAAGATTACCAAAACGAAAATAAGTGGACATTTTCCAGTCACACTGGTAATTTATCAAGCTTAATTCTTAGTACTCTGAGGAACTTAGTCAGTTGGACTGCATCTACCTCAGGTTGACAATCAGTCGGTTAATAGACTGGAGTTATGCTTTCGTCAAACTGTTCTCCTCCTAACTAAATGTCCTGCCAGTCCTTTGGAAAGTCATCTACTGGAACATGTGTCAAGTTTAAACCTATAGCTAAAACCTGTCCTTTTCTGAAAGCTATGCCAAAGTTGCTTCCAATTATTTTTGAACCTTCGCTTAAAGCCTTTAACGATTCCAAACAATATGTCTTCAATTTAGATGAAGCTGCTGTTTTGCATCATAATATCGTTTCTAGTTTAGACAAAGGGGCTAAATTTATTCACAGCGGCTTCCTAGAGCATACATCTTTTGACTCAGTATCTAGGGATATTTTGTTAAATAGGCTTGCTGTAACTCAAACTGAGTGCTGAATTGTTGAGTGGCTGCATTCTTGTTTCTCAGGAAAAAAACAGTATACTGTATGTAAGGGGAAGTTGTCCACTTCATTGCTTACTGAAGCTGGAGTCCCTCAGGGCGCTGTCCTTTCTACTTTTCTGTTTTCTTTCTTCTTGCATGACTTACCTCACTTTGGTGAAATGAACTTTGTTAAGTATGGGACGATTTAATGTTTCAATGCCTGTCATAAGTAGTGTTCGAGACTTTTTTCACCTCACTTTATTGGACTAAATTGATCAATCTGATTTGATACAGTCAACTTGGTACTTCTTTGATTTTCATTTCGATATTTCTAAAATCTAGGATGCATTCATCTCGAACCGAGAGTTGTGATTTCCGTGTGAAAACACAATGCTTGTAAACCACAGACACCTGGAAAAGGTGAATTGCTTTTAGAGTATATTAAATACTTAAGAAATACACAAAAGACACATGTCCACTAACTGATTGACGGTAAAAGAGAAACTTTTGTACAGGTACATCAATTCACCGTCATCAAACAATAGTACTTGAGAGTGGTAGATAGAAATGAAATCCAGTCACTTAGCTCCACTACCAGAGTCGTCTTTCAAGATTATCTACAAGGTGAGGCTAAATGGTACAAAGGGCGTCGGGTTTCGGCATTTGTGTATGGAGGAGGCGTTGGCAATTCGTCAATACAACCCCAGACTCTGTATACCTTCTACCTTGGTCTCAACCTCTTAACTAGTAGTTCCCTGTAAAAATTTTATTTTTTAATTTTCAATTTTACTTTTAGTTCGTTTTTACTTTAATAATTAATTCACTCTTATCACTCTCATATGCTCCTTTTGTACATTTTCACACCCTCTTCACACCTGTTAAGTTGACACTCAACTACTTTTATTCTCACTCAATAACAAGTTTAACCTTATCAAATTTCTAACCCTTTCTTCCTTTGTGCCGTTGAGTACTACGTAATTTACAGCTTCGATTTTTACTTCTAATACCACTTCTGAGTAATTATATCAATTATATCACACACACACACACACCCCTATTACTTCATATTAGACCACTATACATTTTTGGTTAATAATAAATACAACTGTACAGCCTCTGAAGATGATTTCATTGATAAAGAAAATTTTCTTCGCTGAATTTGTCTTTTATTTTCTTCATGACTCAATAGGTATTTTCGGTGATTTGAAGAAATTAATCTTTTACAAACAAAGTCATTACCTCAGATCTAGTCAGAAAGGACAAACAATAAAAAACAACATTTTCGCGTGGATGTAATGGTAAAAACAACAAATTTAGGGATATTATATATATATTTTTTAAATTATCATACAAAAGCATAGATCTGCTTTCATTTTTCCTAAAAAAAAACACTGGTCAAAAATAATTATTCTAAGTAAGGAGTTTAAAAGGTAAAGGGGAACACAACCAAATCACTTCTCTCAAATGAGAAAAATCTTATTTATATATATATGCGTAATATCATTAATAAAAAGACTAGGTCAGCAGCATAAATTTATATCCGACAGAAACAAAAAGTAGAGGTTGAAAGAGAAAAAGAGATATAAGTAGAAAAAAGGCATTATAAAGTGAAAATATTGACTTAGGCAACAAATACTAATGCAAAATAAAACGACAGTATTAATAATCAGAATAACAATAGTGTTGTACGGCTATATGCATTTTCAGAATACCATTTAAAAAACTATTTCACACACTGAATGTGTAATAGAGCTCACTTACCTAACCGGAACAGATGTTCTGTGTGCCAGGCTATGAGCCAGACATTGTGTGTGTGTTTGTGTACATTACCACGGCCGAATTCACTGAAGTGAGATTCGAACCCGAGGCCCATTGAATGAAAGCTATGTGTTTCCACGTAGGTGTGTGTGTGATAAGATTGAAGTCAATAATGTTTAAGATAATGACGACGCTAACAATAACAACAAGGAGGACTAGAACATTTGTGGAGCAAAGAATAACATAATTCATCATAATAAAAGGTTAAAAAGTTTTAGAAAAAAGACAGTTGATTAACCTGAAGTGTGTTGAGGGTATCACATAATTATCATAAATATAAATGATACATTTCATTAGAAAAAAAGTCATAACTATTTTATGATAATACTTGACACGTGTAGTACAAACATCACCGTAATCACCCCTTGTGTATAGGAATGCGCTCGAAGTGTAACACTCACAATAAGTAGTGAACAATGATAAGTAACAAAAGAAGAGGAGGGATATGAGAAATGAGGATAGTATTTAGGAAGATACACCTTGACCAATCACCAACGATTACATAATCTCCATCATTACTCTTCTCTATGACTATTTATGTGAAGCTGTTTCAAATTTGAATACAACACTGTACAACTCGCCACCGAGTCTTTTGGCTAGCCATGAATTTTTAATCACTGCTATCTTCAGCGTATCCACAAGGAATTTCGCATTCAGATTACAATGAATTGCTCGTCCCATACCTTCGATCACAATTAGGTCAACCTTGAAAAGAATGCATTAAAACAAATAGTCCATTCATTTACAATATATACACTAGCTACATATAAGTGACTTTTTTTTCTCAAGCTGTCAGTGGATTCTTTTAAAATCAAACACACTACTGTAAACAACTGATCACAAAATAACACTGTGTATTCTCTAAGGAAATGTTGTACGTCTATGAGAATAAAACTATGATCTAAACAAAATCAACCCGTAAAGTACCATTAGACTCACGTATTAGATGATTATTATATCATTAGTATTGATCTCTTGGGTTCCGAGTGGAATATAGAGCTCCAACAACACATCTCCACTTTCCTCTATTTTCTGCTCTCCTCTTCATCTGGGTCCACGACTGCCCATAATCTCTCATCTCCTCCTCACACGATCTTCTTAATGTCACCCTAGGACGTCACACTTGTCGCTCCACATTTGGATCCCACTTGGGGGCCTGGCGCGCGATGTCATTCGACGGTCTCCTCAATGTATTCCCGATCCATATCCATTTCCTCCTACAAATTTGTTGAGTGATCGGCTCTTGGTTGGTTTGTTCCCAGCCAGAGTTTCTTGTTACTAATTCTTTCTGGCCATCTGACCTTCAGTATAGAGTCAGGCAAGGCAGCTGTTGATAAAAGTCTGTAACTTGTTGGAAATACTTTTCCTGACACGCAGTGCAAGTCGCTGACCCGTATAGAAGACTTTCCATATGTGCTGAAAATCCGAATCTTGTTGTTCATGCTGGCTGAGTGCAGAAGATTTCCAAACCGATTTCAGATTGATGAAGGCGTATCTTGCCTTTCCGATTCTGGCTGACTGGCTTTGACATCCATTCCGAATTCCTGTGGTTGAAACAATGCTTCCTCTATCAGATCTCTCCCGTTGATGGTGTTTGGTGCTGGTTGCTATCGCTGTTGGTTCGTTGTCTTTATCACCTCCGACTTCTTTATGTTCACTTGGAGTCCTGTCTTGGCTGCCAGCCTCTTCAGCCAGTTTGTTGGTTTTCGCCTGTAAATCTTCGAGCTTGTGTGGCACTAAACGTAAATCATCTGCGAAATGCAGATCTTCTAGAGTCTTCTTGTCGGTCCAGCGTATTCTTGACTTGGGGCACTCCATGATTTTGAATCAGTTTCCAAATTACCTCTCGGTCAGCGCTGTCTATCGAAGGCCTTTTCAAAGTCAATGAAGTTGGGGCACAGACTGGACTGTCATCCTATGCTTTGTTCGATGATGACGCGTAAAGTTGCACTTTGATTAGCATATGATTTGCATTTCCTGAATCCAGCTTGTGCAGGGCTGGTGGAGTTCTGCATCCAGTGCATCTTTTATTCTCTCCAGGGTGACGCAACTTATTATTTTACTTGGCGTGGACTAGAGGATTGTTCCACGGCAGTTTTGCAGAGTGACGCGTAAGTCGCTTGACCGCATTCAGGATTTCTGCTTTCGTTAGAGGATTGGTGTCCACTGGCAGTTTCGTGCGTGCTGTTGGTGGTATTTCTGGGAGAGTTGCAGGTGATGCTCGATTCAAGAGTCCTTTAAAGTGTTCAACCCATTGTTTTATTTGTTTCTTCTCCATGGTAATCAGATTTCCTTCATCATCTTTGATTGGTTACATCATCTGGATTCATCTCTCTCCGATAGAAACCTGGTTATCTGATATAATGTCCTGAGGTCTCTTTTACCTGCGGCCTGCCTGCCTGTTTTGCTTCAGTTCCCAGTGTGTCGTAGAATTGTCTTTTGTCTCTCCTAGCAGTCTTCTTCACTTCTTTATTCAGTGCAATGTACATTAAAATCAGCTTCTCCTTCTGTTGTCCATCTTTGCATTGAGTTATCTTCTCTTTCGCCATCCTCCTCTCCTCCAGGTATCCATTAAGAGCCATTCCTTGTCCTGCCTCTTCTTTCTTGATAAAGCGGTTGTACATGTTTCCTTGAACATCACCTTCAGAGAAATTCAATATCCTGTCATGCAAGTTACCTCAGTGACTACAATATGCATATATTGATGTTATCATTTGATATGAAAAATGGAGGTGTATGAATTGGTAAATGAATGATTCAAATGTAAAACCTAGAGAGTTTTCTTTCAGTACCATTTCCTTCACTTGACTAAAACAACAACTGATTTTAAAAATGCCTTAAAACAGAAGAGCCATATCCTGTGAAGCAAACTATCCGCTACACTCTCAACACATAAAACTTAAGAATATGCAGAAGTAGTAAATTCTCATTAGAAATTATCGAATAGCAATCAATGTATCATCAGCTTGCCGTCTCATAGTTTAACTCTTCAATAATTTTTGTTTCATTCAATGTTATTTGAGGGATACCGTTTCGCTTTTCTCTCTCTACACTTTAATCACCAACAACACATAGAGCATATTATAGTTGATGTTACTTTTAGTACCGTGTTGTCGGCAACGACCACTAATTACAAAATGGTAATGTACATTGATTAAGTAGCCGACTTTTGAAATATTCTTTCACAACAATAAGATTAAACCTGGATCTTATTATCTACCTTTCGACCTGATTCACTACTGTCTCACTCGGCAACTGAAATTTTTTTTTAATAATTAAATTTTAAGTAAAGGTATCACTAATTAGACATAGAATGGAAACTTACTATTGTTACACTTATAACTCGCATCTTTATTATATAAACAGAACTAGAAACGTACTAACTACAGACAGAAAATATAGTGCATTGAATCTTTTTTTTTTCATACGGAATGCACAATTTTCAAAGCAAAGAAAAACAACTAACTTGATGATATTTCTATTTGAAAGTAGAAATAGAAATAATATTCAAGTGTTGGTTAGTATGTGCGTCGGTGGCATAGCGGTTAGGACGCTCGCCGACCATGCACATGGTCCGGGGTTCGATCCCCGGCCGGCGCACTCCTTTACCTCACTAAGCCAGAAATAATGCTAGTGAAGAGGAAAGGTTGGGCATGAGGCTAGCAACCCCATTCTGTAAAAACAAACACTGCTACAGAAACTTCAAGCCACTAGCTTGAAGCCCTATGTTCCACTGCGGAACGTGAAGGAAAAAAATTTTCAGTATAGAAAAAAAAAAGAAAAGAAAATGTACCTGTTCCCGTTCTGTCAACTGAACTAGTGAGCTGGCAATGAGACGGAAATCAAGACAAGGCGAAGTCTGACCATTTTCAGCTAACATAAGTTTACCATTAGCAAGAGAATCAGCAATCAACGTGTCGAAACCTGCTATCATGTGTAGAAGTAATTCTAATTCTTGATAAGTTATATCATTAATAGCAGGACCTGCAAAAAAACAACAAAAAACGAGAAAAACAAGAAAATTACGCACTACTTAAAAATTTAAACAATGTGAATTTAATTCCATTGCATCATTTTTTTATTCCTTTGCGTGGAACATAGTGGAACATAGGGCTTCAAGATACAGGCTTGAAGTTTCGGTAGCACTGGTGTTTATTACTACGGGATGGGGTTGCTAACCTCATGTCCAACCTTCCCTCTCTACCAGCTTTATTACCAGCTCAGCGAGGTGAAGGAGTGCTTCGGTGGCCGGGGATCGAACCCCGGACCACATGGGTGGTTGGCGAGCATTCTACCGTTGTGCCACCGACGCACCCATTTTATCATATATTAAGGTGATATGACTATGAGCAATAAATTGTGCTCGAAACGTCATCAGTCGATATCACTGTATAACACTGTGAGACTTAATCAAAATAAATTTTCCCCACAATGGAATTATACTCTACCACAGTGCACAAGTTCTATTCTTATATCAATGTGAATTTAAAACAATTAGTGCCTTTAGTAAATATGGATAGCGTTACTTTAAAAACGAAGATTATTGAAAAGGAAAGAAATAATGCTATATTTGCACAGTGCATTTCAGAGAAGCTGGCTACACATCTGCTTGTTAATTTAACTGGTATGAAAAATGAAATTTATTGCCTATGTATATCACATTTTTCAGATAAACTCTGAAATAAATAACGACTGTAAATTTTGAAGATGACTAGAACTATACAACGAACTATGTATGGGTTAGTATAGTATGTCATTTGTTTCATATTAGCTGAAAAATAAATTCAGAATCTGTGTATAGCCATCTCATTACTTAAATATGCCTGCAGGCAGGTATGAATAAGTGAGGTCAACAAATAAAAATATAAAAAAAAGTTGGAGTGGCTGTATGATGATAGTGTTCGAGAAGTATTTCCTAGTCTCTTCAGTCAATGATTTGTGATCCTATGACGAATAACTTCGTACAACTCAGCAAGATGGCTGGCTAGTGACAGACAAGTTATGCTGATGACGCCTGTTATGACCCAATCCTATGACTTACTCCCATTATAGTCAGAATCACGACTTAATGTAGAATTTGGTAGTTATCTGCAGCATGGTATAGCGAGTAAGGTATCTTTTTAGGGCTAAACCAATCACTTCAGTATCATTTACATGAATTGAAATCAGTTCTTCACCTCAAAAAGGGCAATTGATCGAATACCAGTTAAATTTAGTCGGCAAATTATACGAAACTGTGCCCCTGATAATCATCTATGCTTCATCTTCAGATTATTGAATCGTCCTCTACATTAAGTAATGAAGTCGAGATCACAGTGCAGACTGCAGCTATCGTCAATGAAGTACACTTTTCAGTTCAATATCAGGGAGACAGAAACTAAGAGTAAAAGCAAACTTCACAATGCATCCAAGCTATTTTCGTGTGCATTTTTAAATGAATAGTGTTTGGGGTAAACATTAAGCTATAGCGGAAAAACTCCTATCTAATATCTAGTATCTCGAATAAGAAAACGAGACTTCATGAAAATAAGACGACAGCCACAGTAAATAACCTGCAAAGGAACTATCAACCACTGCACTGAAAATTTGAGATGATAGTTCTTACTATGACAATTAAATTTACGTCAAGTCTTATCCGATCGCATCAAACAGATATGTAGTAGGTTCAAAAAACAATTGTAAAATCCTCATCACTCAGAGTATGCATAATAGGGAGGGACATAAAACAAATATTATAAATAAAAAGAACTGGTTTCTACATTTAACAGTTCAAATTACTTGAATTAGCCGCCAATATCACTTTACATCCACGACTAAGAAACTCCATAGAGAACGGTAGTACACCAAGTATAATATCTGCACCACTGTTATCACAGAATATTAATATACAACGATACGGTGATCCAGGTACACTGATTCGACTAATCCATTTATCATAATCGTCGACTAACCAAGGTCGGCGCTGAAATCAGTACAATTTGTGTTGAAGTAAATTATTATTAATAACAAATGGTTGAGTAGGACAGTTACAACAGAAAGTGTTAGCTATTAGTGTCTGAGTGTGTGTATGCTACTCACAAACCCACTTACACTTCCTTGCAATTGACAACGAGCCATACCTGTTGTGTGCAAGCTATTGATACTAACTGAATACTTGAACCTCGGTAGGTGGAACAGCGTTCGATCTAGTTGGTTTGAAGTCAACTGTCTAGACCTAATGGACACAGAAGTGTAACACTGGTGCTTAGCATTCATTTAGTGCTCATTTGGCAAAAGAAAACTGAAAAACTTAATCAATACACTTTACGTCACATCTAAAAACTGGTTTTGATTAACAGGCATAAACTAAGAATACAAAAACAACGGTCTGGTTATACACGAAGCACACTGGAACGCCTTTTTGAATTTTGATTAAAAAAAATAAGGATTATTTCTGGTCAATTGCTGTACAAAAACTGGATCGACCGAGTCTGCTCGCTGAGTTGTTTTATTGTTCACTATTGTTTTCTTCCCACTCACAGCTAGGCATGTTACGCATGCTTAGTCATAGCCTTCCTTGACGGGAAATGTTAGCTAACTGACTGATATAGGATCAGGTTGTAGAAGAGCGCGTGGTGGTGGTCAAACCAAAACATGGCTTCATCAGTCAATGAAATCCACAACAGTTAGTTTCAGCCAGCCACGTAGGGAGGTATAGACTTCCTGGTTGGCGGGTTGTAGTCCTCATGATGGTAAAAACCAATGAAGGCTGGAGACAATTGGTGATATAGCTCAAAATCCTCTTTCTCAATGGCTGGCGCAGATGCATTCACTCCATGTGATTTATAATATCCAATAAACCTATACGGTTCTTCGATATTACCATTCTTTTTGTCTCATATTTCTGTTTATTATCTCTCTTTACTCTTTTCACTTTCTTAGTGTGCTACAAGGAGAGAGTGTGACAACTTGAACTGCTGCACATCTGTGCAAAGTTCTACTAACAACAATTACACAGTGTAAATAGTTGTACCAAGCATGAATTTACTAACATGTGTTTTTTTCATTTGCAAGAATTTGGTTATTAAGTTGAATACACTTAATTACATTAATCCTCAAGGTTTAACCGGGACTTCCACTTAACCTAATAATTTTATCATTGCAAATTCACCGGATAGCAAAGATGTTTAATTTATGTTTTCCTGTTCTAAAAATAATATATCAATGCGAACTAGTGTGCAACCAAATATACTATTTTATAAACGAAAAATCGCTTTCTCTATAATTTCGATATTGCTTTTTCGTTAAATTATTGCATTTTAAATCCCCCCCCCCAATTAATTGATATTATAGGACCGAAATACAGGACCATCTCTGTTGACATGTCGACCTTCTAGTAGAGACTCTTAGACGATGTGTCTAAATTTAAGAATGATGTTATTTGGTTGATGGTGGGTAGTAGTGGAATCTATAAGGCACGGGCTTCACCCTTTTCGAGACTCGTCATTTGGATGTATCAAAAGAGGACGAAACGTACGTACTGAATACCATTGCTGCTGAGCATCAATCAAATAATTTTACGTTACATTTAGTTTGATTTTTTTTGTACCGTATTTTTGGTACAAATATGGAATTTTCAGCATGTGATATCGGTAGCCCAAGTTTTGCAGGCCGACTATTCATATCAGGTGTGCGTCGACAGGGGATCGAACCCCGGACTATGTGCATGGTCAGTGAGAGTCCTAACCACTGTGCCACCAACGCACATTAAACAACTATCGATTACATATTATTAACACTTATTTCACTGTTGCTTCTATCAGTCATAATTTACTTATCATATGCTTAGCACTAGGACGCAGAATATGAGAAAATAAACACACAACAAGGGTAATCCATTAAAATACTACTAAAAGAGAGTTATATATCACTTTAAAAGAAGTACGATAGGCTAAAAAGCAGTTTTTTGAAGTTTACAGGCATGTTAAATAAGGCCATCATTTGAATGGGCTGATATAAAAATCTCATTTGAACTTGTTGCAACACAATGATCAGTACGTTCAACCAATACAGATATATATATATATATATATAATACATTATTTATCATTTTATTATTGTTTCCTTTGATTCCTAGAGGAACATAGGGCTTCAGCCGTGCGTCTTCATTGCGTTCGGTTCTCTGCTAGAGTCTTCACCTGGCCACACGTTCTCATCTCCTCTTCACATGACCTCCTCTAAGTCACCCTTGCACTGACGACCAACTCGACGCTTCCCTTTTGGGTTCCACTCGAGAGATGGCTTGTCTAGTGATGTCACTTGATGGTTTCCTCAGAGTATGGCCAAACAATCTATCTCCATTTCTTCCTGCCTATTTGTTTCACAATCGGTTCCTGCTGTGTTAGTTCGCTCCCAGAGATCCCTGTTGCTGATCTTTCCTGGCCAGCCATCTGATCTTGAGTATTGAGCGAAGACAGCTGTTGATGAAGGTCTGTAGTTTTTTTGAGAGGCTCTTTATGACGCGCAGTGCAAGTCCCTGATCCGTATAGTAGCACTGACTTCACATTGGAGTTGAAAATCCGGATCTTATTTTTGATGCTGAGTGCTGTTGACCTCCACACAGACTTGAGAGTAGTGAAAGCTTGTATTGCTTTCCCGATCCTCGCTTTGATATCCTCGTTAGTTCCGTCCGCCTGTAGTTGAAACGATGCTTCCCAGTTCAGGTTACTTCCGTTTATGCTGATTGTTGTCTGTTGTTTTTGTTGCTGTTGGTGTTGTTGCCCAGGAATTTTCATCACCTCTGTTTTCTCTATGTTCACCTGACATGAAGTCCTATCTTTGATGCTTCTTCTGCCAACTTGTTGCTTTTCACTTGCATATCTTCCAGTTTGTGGGAAATTAGACATATATCATCGGCGAAGTCCAAATCCTCCAAGTTTCTTGTGTGAGTCCATTTTATGCCTGTTTCCCCATTGTCCGCTGTTTGTCGCATTATCCAATCTACTGCAATCAAGAAAATCATTGGTGATAGTAGGCAGCCTTGTCTTACCCATATATATATATATATATATATATATATATATATATATATATATAATCTCTGTTTCTATCTGTCAATCATTCTGATTTTTCCTAATGACTTTAAAATAGCATGACAAGGATGACTAACTAACCAAACGACTGACACATGTTAACTGGCTGTCAGCTTGAAATTTGTGCTACTAAAGTACCCTCTCCCATCAAACGTATTGCTTCAAATTACTCCTATTCTTACTTTATTCAATCATGGATGTCCTTAAATTGCACTCACACACACACATTTTTTTTAAAATAAACACTTCAACCTATGGCTTTCCGTGTTCTCTGTGAATTTGAGAAAAAATGTCATAGTTTATGGCATGGTCGGTCGGTTTTCGACATAGAACTTTGCACATATGTGCGGCAGTTCAAGTCGCCACAATCTATGTAGCACGCAAAGCAAGAGAAGGAAGTAGAAGAAATGCACAATATAGACAGTAAACAGAGGTGTGAGACAAAGGAATAGTTATAACGGAGAACAAAACAGTTTAATTGGAAATCATAAGTCACAAGGAGTGGATGCATCTGCGCCACTGAGAACGATTTTGAGCCATGTCACCAATTGTTTTATGGCATGGCAGGTTAACGAAGCATACAAACATAATTTGAATGACTGTCATCATTTCTTTTCAATTTATTTGTAACGGGGGGGGGAGGGGGCAAATTTGTTGCAATATGCAAATGATGACAAATCTCTATACAAGCATTGTGTAAAAGAAAATTCATTACTATGATTTTAGAAAAGCATCAGGCTAAGTCTCTTTGAGAATATATAGCTTAAACAAAAGATGATTTGATGCTGTCCAATAAAATCAAGATATAACTCAACTTACCTGAACTTTATCCAGAGTGATTTGAAAGTCAACAGCACCGAATTTATTCTGTGGTGCATCTTTAAGAAACTGGACAACTTCAACTGCACCCCAGTCAAACATATTACCGGCTAATAAACCTTGGACTAAAGACAACTGACGATCAAGCCAATCCAATTTGGCCAGTTTATTTAGTCGGTCCGTGAAGGCAGAAAGAGCTGCTCTGTTTTCACACTGTTGCAATTAAAGAGAATAGTATTATCTAGTTTTAAAATTAAATTTACTGAAAAGTAAACTAAACGAAAACATTTCGATTTAAAAAAGATAAAGTGTAAAGGGAATTGAGATAATTTAGTATAAAAAAGGGGCGCTCTTATGCACTGGATATTGTTAATATAACTCATAAATAATTTATGGACTATTCAAAGGATCATGATGGTAACGAGTGGATAGTTGTACATTGGTACCGTTTCACAAAGACGAAGAACTACTGATTTAACTCTTTGGCAGTATTGCACACTTGGAAGCTTTCATTTGTAAAATCTTTTTAAATACTTTAATTTGTGATATAGTGATAATGAGCGCCAAGAAACCAGGGAATTCCATCCAGAGCTTCCCTCTTTTTATTAAGTTCGGACATCGGACGCTCTCAATTATTTCATAGTACGAATCGATAAAATTTCTATTCAAGTGTTGGTTTGTAGGGATTTGATTGGTTACAGGATTTTCATCATGGGCTGACATTAGTTAGAAAACCATTGGAAAACCTGGGAGTACTGGACAGCTGTTTCGTCCTAGTTTGGGACTCTTCATAAGTACATACCCACCGGGATTCGAGCCCAGGACCTCCTGGTTACAGGGCGAGCTCGTATACCATTAAGCCACTGGGACCCGATCCAATGGCCCATGAATTCTAACTTCTGCCAATTCACGACATAGCGCGACCCCTAGGCAATGTCTTCGGCGAGTATTTCTCCTCACACCCGACCTTCTGCACCCTACTGGTCACGAATTCTCACTAGAACCCCAGGTAACTACCTACCTGAATAAGGCAAGTCGCTAGTGAGCATCTACAGAGATGCATATAGGTAGGTATTGGTAAACGTCCTTATATTTGAGAAAACTCACAAACCTCAGTGTTGTATACAAATATACACATATACTGTATGAAGACTGATGATATTACTTTTCTGCCTAAGCCTAGAATATACGTGGAGAGATGTTGAAAGTCGATCGCCTCATTAAACAGCTACAGCCCTAAGAGTCTCATATTGAGCATCTTATAAATAATTGAACAACAATAAACACAACACAGTCAAATAGCTACTCACTCTTTTTTGCAAGCAAAACACATCTCCAAATCCATATTCTCGTAAAAAGTGTTGCTGAGCAGATAAAAGGCAACGTACAGTCAATAAACCACGACCACTTGGATTAGCTCTCAGTTCACGTAAGAATCGTTTATATCGTTCCGCGAATTGAAATGATCGATCTCCAGCATCTGATAATATATCAGACTGACTTTCTTCAGATTTGGCTCTATGATATTCTATACAATTCTAAAGGTTACAGAAAAAAAACATTTTGTGCACTGAACAAAATGCCTAAGAACTACTAGAAATAGTTATTCGGTAAAGTGATGCGTTAGTAGCATAAAGTTAAAAAGTGCTAAAAAAATAAGGTACCACCAATCGATGCAGTTGCTGACTATTGGTAGGAAGCAAGTACGAAGAAGTGCGTCGGTGGAACAGCGATAGAATGCTCGCCAACCACCCATGTGACCCGGGGTTCGATCCCCGGCCACCGACGCATTGCTAAATTTCGATAAGCTAGTAATAAGACTGGTGAAGAGGGAAGGTTGGGAATGAGGCTAGCAACCCCATTCCGTAAAAACAAACACCACTGCTACCGCAACTTCAAGCCTGTATCTTGAAGCCCTATGTTCCACTGGGAACGCAAAGGAATAAAAAAAAGTACGAAGAAGCAAGCTTCATAGTTGATACTCATTCGCACAACAAGAAGTGACGATAAGAATCTTCGGGTAGTATATCAGAAATTCTACATTAATGGTGCAGAATCACTTATATCTTGAGAATAATATATGAGTACGCCTCACTTTGATTTTGTGATAACTTTTTTCACAACTTCTTATATATTCATTTCCTTTCCCTTGTGTAAAATAAGTATTCCAGATAGCTGTACAATTGCTTTTGCTTATTGACTATCTTTATTTATCCATGAACATAAATGATGTAGGTAAAAAGCTAATTTACTTAGTTTTTAAAGATAGTGTGGTGTGTGCATTTGAAGAAACATTCACCGGCACAAAAACATCAAATAGCCGAGAGGTAGATTTGACGTCAAAGAGAGCAAGTGAACCAGTGTTGCGACAACACATAGGATATACGAAAAGAAGACAAAGAAACAGAATACGAAGGAGGGGCAGAAGTAGCACAACACAGAAGACCTGTGCAAATGACAATTTCCACATAAGGTGTATATAATTTCGCTATATAGAGATATCAAATTTCTAAATATGCATTCCGTTACGAAGTCTCTTGTCTTCTACGGTTACAATAGGTACCACTAAGTCAAGGCCCCTTACATCCAAATACTAAGTAGAACACCAAAATAGGATGCCTTCACGATGACAATTTTATTGTCATAACTTTTTGACAAAGGAAGGCTAGCTTCATCTAGACTGAAAATACCGTATTTAATAGTACTTACCTCAAAGCAGTTTAACCAATATATCCTGGCTTCTTTGTCATGCGTTAGGTCCCAAGTATCAGGTGTATAATTAACAGGTGATTCAAGTAAGTGAAACATCTCCAAAGAGTGTGTGAATACGCGATCTAGTTCAAAGTTGTGTAGTTTTATTTTCTCATGTTTCAGTGGTGAATGTTTAGCTGCATCTTTCATAGATGTTGTACCATTGTCCACTTTGTCGAGAACATCAAAAGACATAGTTTCTGGAAACTTTTCAACTTCATTTTCTACACCTGCATTGTCTACAGCACATGAAGAGCTCTTTACAACAACCGTTTCTTTACTCTGATCGATTTCATTTGCTTTTGTGCAGGATGAAATATCAGAGAGGGATGAATTACTAGAGCTTACCACATAATTCTCTGACCACAATGTTTTCCGTTCAGATGGATTATTATCCTCAAAACTTTTCAAATATGCACCAATTGCTCCTAAATACCCTTCATGACGTAGAAACAAAGCCTTATACTCTCCTCCTGACCAAAACCGAACAGCATAGGTGATGACCTGAATTAAGAAAAAAACATATGAATGAAGGAAATCGTATAACCTGAAACTCATTATCAAATTATCAGTTAACAGTATAAATATAATTAAGCAAAAATTAACACATTTTCAGGTGTTTCTTTTTAGGCATATACTGTAGTCTTTTTTCGGAAGTGAACAAACGCAAATTAATACAGAAGGATGTATGATTGCGCTAAAATATACAGAGACACTTATCTCGAAAATTCAAAAATAGTAATTAAAAACAAAATACACTAGTCACAAATCACTAGTTTTCTAAAAATCAACCAAATCAAAGTCCAAAATAATTGACTAAATACACTATGCATATTCGCAGTCTCATATGACACTTACATAACAGGGTTAAATACATTCCTAGAGGCGAACACAATGTCTCTCTGTGGTGTTTTAATCACCATAGCTATTTCGTCAGTTAAACAATTAGCGTAAATATTTTTTGAAATGATCATGTTGACTAGTGTTATGAGTAAAGCAGCAAATAAAAAGGAAAAATAATTTTTCGTTGCTACTTTTTCATGTGTGGCGAACAAAACTGAATTGCACACAGCTTTGATCAGAAGTCAGTCATTTGACTTCAAATATTGAAACAGATTTATAAGGGAGTAAACTTTAGCATAAATTCAATACTTTTCCTTCACTCCGACTTCCTTACACATAACAACTTATTCGGAATTTGAACCGGGAGCCATTTTCATTGTGACATGCAATGTTCATCAAACAGTATATATAAATACTGAACCAGAAACAAGAATGTGAGTTAGATCTTCGTGAAAAAAAATTGCTTACCTCCATTGTAAGTCCGTGTCCGCGTATGAAATACCCACCGAAAATAATTCGTTTAAGGTTATACTGTTTGGCGTATAGACAAGCCAGTTGACCTATATTACTATAAATTAATAGTTGTAACGAAACAAGATTAGTTCAGTGATACGACAAAAACTACCAATATTAAAATATTCTTCCGGAAACAATAAAATTAGATGTATTGGAGAAGATTTGTAGCTCTACACCAAAAACAAGATAATAGCTGTGGAAGACTGTTTATAGACAATCTATTTCTCAGAACTAGTTTATTACTGCAAAAGTCTACCTAAAGATGATCGGTAGAGTTCGTGTTACATAATCAGCATTGTTATTATTTCAACAACTAAAATTAAATCCAATCGCTGGATAGTCAACCATTCCAAATATGATGCCTGAACCAATCCACTTACACTTTATATTAGATGCAGACATGCAGCCAGATAACTGATATATTTAAACCTGTTTTGACAGATTGTTTGTACAGCAGGAACAATGAGTAATAGTGGTAGGTGGTTTAGACTTCGAAAGTTCGCACATTTAAAAAATTAAGTGACACATGGAAATACAAGTCCACTGAGCTTTATATATGATGTATCTTGAAAGTGTTCTTTACAACTCTATTGAAACTAGACTTCAAGGGATGCTATAAGAAGTGTACAATAAAGTGAAGTTGTTTAGGAAATGAATGCTAGATAACTAGCCAGCAGATAAAAGTGGTGAAAAATTATTCATTTTTACTTACTTGCTAACTGTAATAAGTAAAGATTTCACCATGTCAGCCACTTCACGGGGTTGATTAGGATGACGAGCTGCTAAACCGAATGAACTTGCTATCACATCTCCAGAGAGTCCAAGAGTCTCATATGCACCTCCGTATATATCACGTACTAACATATCAACCTGACGGTGATCACCAGAATCCGCCATTTCCAGAAGTTCGTCGAAAGTAAACTTTCCTACAGAGTTAAAACAATGCCACATTACTACTAAAAATGTCATTAATGGAATAATGATGTTTTTATTGTGAAGTCATACAAAGGAAACGGTTAAATACTTGGACAAAATTTTGATTTGAAGTACATAGCAATTCAAGATTTTCACTAATTTCAAAATGGCAAAAACTGAAACCTCATAATATTGCTGTGGATATACTTCAAATACAACCAATACTATTTAATCCAGTGGTGGTTCTTGCGGTTGTGCCTCGGAATCTTCTAAGAGAAAGCGTATATAACCAAAAACGGCTTCATATACCTTTTTGACTAAACTTTAATCACATACTTCAAACATTTTAGGCATCATTACTTAAATAAGACAAAAACAAGGAAAGCACTTCAGCTACATCAAGTTAACTTAAAAGTCGCAATATGCATAAAACTTTCCTATTAAATGGAGAGTTTCACTTGTTAATCATATAATAAATTTGATAGACGATAAGTGTAACTCTCCCATTCCTTGATAATCTAGAACCAAGCCACTAAATGATTTAAGTTTCTCTAATAACGTGTTGTTTGAATACGTCATCTACTGACTGAGGAACTCTAAGAGAAGAAGTAAAAAAAATGGATGCATGGTTCCTTTCTATTTCTAAACTGTCATAATTTGGTTGATCAAACGGTTAATATTGTTTCTTAGTTCAAAGTCAAAACTTTATATCTGCTTCTCCAGAACAAAATAAAATTACTGCGTGGATCTCACTTAGTAAAATCTAATTAAAGTATCCAAAACAAAACTACTTATGTAAAAAATGGTTGAATAAATCCAGATGATTGGACTGTAAATATAGGCTGTAAACATTTATAAAATCAGAAGATGAAACTCAGTGGAATCATTAAATGCCTAGTTTGAATCTCCTACTGAGGAGAAAATTTTGGCCAGTACAGTAAATATTACAGCGGAACAGGACTAAACTTTAATCTATTCTACTGAACACTTGATAGATATGAAAACCAATCCAGAAAAGATTATCGTTCGGTAGTCAAAGAACTACTGGCTTTTAGGATAATGATGAGTTATGCTTAACAAAATAATAATAGTTGGCTCAAAAACCTTACCTCCTGATAATAGTGTTCCTAGACCCCAAAATGTTCCACCACCAATAGAAGTCCCACCGACTCTTTGATAAGAAGTGGGACTTTCAACTTTTAAGATGCTAACACCAGATCCGACATTGACCAAAAGAAAAGGAAATGTACTCACTAAACCATTCGAAACGAAGACATGTGCTGGAGTAGCATGTTTGTCATAGTAAAATAATTCGTCCGGAATATTTCTAAGTAAAAACACGCATCCCCTTATAAGACATTCCATTTCGTCTTCTTTATCCAGTTCAATCCCCAGTTTGGAGCAAATTAGATCACGGTAACGAAAAGCGCCCCCTCCAGTTACCTTAATTTTGTTAGTTGTCCCCTTGGGTAGTGCACTTTGCTGCATAATGTTAACATTAATAAAATCAAGGCAGTCTTCGATATTTCTAGTCTCAAATTTCATAAAACACAACTTTTGTCCTTCATCTTCACGTTCCTTATATTCGTAAAAGTCGAAAGGCAATTCATTCTCACTGACACTTTTGCGGGGTTGTTGGGGTATAGAACGTCTATAGCGAAAAACGCGTTTATACACCAATTTTGCAAGTGATCCTCCAATGTCCAGAGCGAAGATATTTACACGGCAGCTTTGGTCAAACGACGGGTCGGAAACCTGAGAAATATCAACTGCCGAAGCATAGGACATAACAAGTGCATTAAGCGGATGAATCTGAAAATGGAAAGATAAAAAGCCGAGAATCATATTTTATGAGTTTCGCTCATGTATAGAGATTTATTTTTGTGGATTTTGCATCAAAAACAAACAGGCGGCAATTTCTGAAACATGTGAACTACAAGTACCTACCTGTCTAACTACTCGATCAATACCACTCATTACTACGTCGAAAAATTTTTCATTCGGTCAATAATCAGCAAATTAAAACCACAGAACATTTTAAGCCACCTAGATAAAATTTACGGTGAAATATTTCAAGATAGTCAAATAAAGCAACGTAGGAATTCCTGTTGGTTGCCCGAATAATATATTCCAAAATTTTTAATGCAACACTAACAATCATCCCAGAAATTCCATGATGGTCGATGTATTCAAAAGCATTTTAATTCGACAGAGCAGAGAAAATTTACCCAAGATAACAATAATTCCAAACTACTTCTAACCTATGCGTTGGTAAGACCTTTTTATGGTGAGCATTTTATCTACCTAAAATAGACCCACTATGTACTGAAATAACTCAGGTCATTCTGAAAAAGAGCACTAGACACTTAATTAATGCGACGAAACATTAAAAATATGATATGCAGCTGATATTAGGCCTTTGTTGCTGCTATAAAGCTGAAAAGATTGCTACTAGGCGGTGAACTACGTCTTTCTGCTCTGAATTTATACCAGTCAGTGATGAATATGGACTGAGAGGGCTAGAACTACATTGATTAGAAAACCCGGTAGGTTTTGATCTACTCCTGAAAATGCCTAGAAAAATAACAGGGTGCTGAATTGGTACCAGTCATGCTGAAAACCATCACTCAGTTCCAGTTTGTTCATTAAAAAAACCATTTCAGAACAGATTCATAATTTACTGACTATAGAATGTTAGAGTTACTTCAGAATTAGTAAAATTTAATTCAGCATTATAGTAAGTATACGGTGGAGAAAACTCCACTAACTTGAATAGAACTAGTTGGTAAGCAACATTCTAAACATTTCCATCTAGAAGAAAATTGGTAGTTATTTGTGACAACTACAACGACTTCATTAGTTTTATACGTACTTAGGCATCTCTTACTGACTCGAAAACATCGTCGCAATTCAATAAGTACCGAAAATTAACTTTTACTTCATTAAATAGCAAAAACATTTTTGAAGCTATAACAATCTATCAAACTATATGATTACCTGTGAAGTAATCACTGAATTACTAGTGGCACTACGGAAATACGAAGACAGTAACACCTCTATTAAATATTTGCGTGATTTCAATGTATCCAATATTGGAAAAACAACATTTAAATTAGCAGTGGCATTTGTACACAGGCTAACATAACCTATCAAATTAAGTGATACAATGAATGTTTAGTTTTGCCAGTGCATTCCACGATTTATAAACACAGTAGGAATTTTGCACTAATAACGCGGTACCATAAACAAAATTTGCGAATATAATGAGATATCGCATGCACCCATGTAATTCCAGCTAATGAGTTATTCCTTACCCCAGGTGACACATAAATTTCAATATGAGTCACACATGTTAGCATTCTTTGTAATGGTTTTTCTCGCTCACCTCTTGATGAGCTTTTTGAACCCCCCCCCCTTCTATTATTTTTTTTGTTAAGAGCTTTTCGCACTGCATTAACCTTATCTTCTTTCGTTCAGAACTTTTTATCTGTTATTGCAGTAACACAGTTCGTCCCCGTGGAAGAACCAATATCAAAGGAAACCGTTAAGGGAGATTATCGTGCCACTTCCCAACAAGAGACAGTGTGCAGTCTGGTAGCTGTAACCTCTGGTTTCACATAGAATGCACCAACCCGACTTCCGAAATAAAAAACCTTTGCTGTAAACCCGATTGTGAACTAACAAGTTGAGGACTACTGTGATGTTTAAGGAGACATCTTTAGAGGCTGACGGTATTGACGTTCATGGATAGTACGAAGTATACTAAGGCAAGATCTAATACCCACAACTTCTATAGTTTTCGTTCCGCCTAGACCAAAGGTAAAGCAAAAGGCAATACTTGATCGTCCAAATTACGAGATATATTTCGGGACCAAATCGGAGTGCGAGATGATTGCTTAGCTGACTAGGGATCGTGCACGAACGTGAAACGACGGGGTACCGAATGGCGTGGATGCTTGACCGGAAGCCCTCAGCTAAACAAGTTGACTTAAACATTGAGGTCAGAATCCAATGTTCAGTGATGAGTGCTATGGTCAATAATTTCGAGGAATTATTTATCGCTACGCATCCATGTTTTCTGATGACAAAACTCTAACATAATTAAGAAGTGCAACAGTAGAATTGATGAGGTCTTTTTATGTAAATATCACTCCCAGAAGAAGAGAGTTTAATAAGGGCCATCAGCCTACAGGAGGCATCAATCCACAGTGTCCACATTCCCACGCTTCTATAATCCTGAACTTCGAAATTCAGATGAATAACAATCACTTTTTCACACTAAGGCAGATCAAGTGAATCCATAAGATGAAGATGAAAAGAAAGGGATAAAACATCAGTTCTATCGCAATAGATTGTAATTCTCATTTCACAACTGACTGGCTTCCCATTGAGAAATTAGGCTTAATAGCCGGACTAAGTATCTCGAAACAGCGTTAAGTCAGATGCGGGCAATTGTATATCAGAGTAACTTCACTCTACGTTGAGTGAACTGTCCCTATGAGTCTAAACTGGGAAACTCATGAATTGCTTGAGTTTAGACAAAAGCGTTGGCTTTTGAACTGCTGCTTTTAGCAGGACTCCTGTTACAGTCCAAATCATATGTATTGTGGGGATTCGTCAATCACTGATAAAATTGTAAGTGCACCTGTTATGCCTAAATCAGTTTCTTTACATATCACTATGCACTGAAGAGAACGATATTCTGACAGCACAGCAGATTCAAGGGCTGTGGGTTGAGGATCTTCACAGCTGGCAACTTTACACATGGTTATAAACCCTTTTTGCTTATGAACACTCTTTTTTACTTGAAGGTGTCTCCTAACATTACTGTCTTTCTGTTGAAGAAGTCCTCTAACACCTGTAATAGTATGGTTCTAGCACACTCATCGGAGTCAGATCATGATACCCGACAGTCGTTATAATACTATTTTTATTTCTTAGACAGAAAAAAGCCATTTTCACATGTGCATAATGCGAATAAACCATAGGAATTATAGTGTGAATTCTTAGAATGGAATTACAGCTTTTATTGACGACATTATTGAAAATAGTGTGACTAACTTCATAAGTGAAATTGGCTTTTAATCATATACTTTGAAAAATAATGGTTAGGATCAAAATTTCAACCTGTGGTATATATACCGCTTGTAAGTCTTATGGGAAAATTTAGAAAGGCTGCTTTCTTAGGAGGCTAGTGACGGCCCAATACTAGTGGTATCAAAGAGAAACAAAGGCTACAGAAATTATAAGCGTCATCAGTCTTGTGGATATAAAGCGTTTGTAAATTCTGACAGTTTCGCAGTTGCTGTCAAGTACGGCAAGTTTTAGTAATCTTACGCAAAAATTATTTTGTGAATGCGGTGTTCATATTTACTGAAAAGTCAGAACGATGGAATGTTAGGATGATTCATAGTGAAGATTAGTTAAAATGTACAGTGTAAATACAAGGCAACTCCTAACTACTTGAAGAAATCATAACGGTGGGTTATGGAAGAGGATTCTAACCTGAATATCAGAGTGCAAGGAATATTGAGGAGAAAGGCGGGAGTTTTTTTGATATCTGTACTGTTTTTCTGGCAGAGTTAGGTGTCTTTCTGAATTAGCAGGCTCGTTCAGTGCGGTTACATACGCAGAATCCTTCTAGGCACTGGATCTCAGGTAGTTGCTATCTCTTTTTGTGAAGAATTCATTCTCATTAAAGAGCCTATCAAGATTGGTGAGTAGCTCCTCAAAGCAACCGAGCCTTTGTCCATCTGTGCCTACTGAAACATTTGACTGAAAATCGGACTTTTAATGGACTAGAGCCGGTTGACTGGGTTTTGTTGTGATTTTGTATTTTCATGCCCTTTTCGCCAATAAATAAGCCTACGATCTTCCGTAGGTGCTATATTATTTCTTAGTTAGATGAGGCGGTGCTGAGAAAAGCCCAGCCCCTAGGTTACGTTGACTGCTCTTATTATTGTTCCAGTTAATAAAGGGGAAATGTAATACTTGAAGATGTTTTAGAGCGTGTATTTACTGACCATATTGTAAAAAGAACATAGAGATAAACAAACACACCACGACTCAGCAACGGGCTCTCGTCGTTTGGAAACCCAGTTGTTTTCATCGTGTTTCAATTATTGCAGATAATCAATTTGGTTGCTGAAGGCGAAGATGCCGGGCTTAAATCGGACCAACAAATTTCTTCAGTCTCCCTTACATCCTCAATCTGAAAATTTCAAATTTACTGATTCAAAAGTTTATAATAGGTTTATGACATGAACCACATTGTACCCCTTTACTTATATGTATAGATACACTAATGTCAAAATGTTCCAGGATAATGCAGATTCGAATGCGGAGAGAAATATATTTGAGCCTAAAAGATAAGTATACCACCCTAACGTAATCACTGCAAGCATCAAAGATGAGTGCAAAATAGACTGTGGATTTGGCCAGCCAGGGGAATCCTATATCAGCAGAAAATATTTATGCAGCCAAAATCAGTGAAAGCGTCACATTAAGATGAGCAGTAAACTAACGAACAGCAATGCAAGTTACGTTGTTTTGCCAGAATCAAATCAAAACGGAGAAAGTGAAGTAGCATCCATTAAGGGTTTGGTACTGGTTATTACTGCTTTAAGTGATTTAGCGAATGGAATCTTGAAGACACATCAATAATTACTGCCTGGATAGTGTATATGAGTTGAAGTATAATCCAAATCACTGCAACAAGTTTGGCTGAGTTTGGAGTCTGTATCATGAAGAAAAAATCGTTCTACTGCCCGAGGCTACATAGCCCTTGAGTACATTGTGTGAGAACAAAGTCGTAGGAACATAAACAGGAAAACCGACACATTATGACACTTTCCTACATGCTTAAAACAACAAAGATCATTATGGCCAACGTAACGCTAGGCAGATTAATAATATACCTCGGAATGAAAAGTGGAATTATCAAACAGAAATACTGAGAATAACTAGTCCCTCTAATTAACCATTTTGGTTGTTGGCCAGTTCACATCTCACATCTAGCCCTTAATTGCCAACCTCAATATGTGTGACCTCATATGTAGATGGCAGATGGAGTAAGCCTGAACGTTCAACTGAATAAAGAGAAAATTCTAGTAAATTTTATTCTCCTACATTTGTTTAGGGGCCAGAAGGTTTTTAAACAGCAGTAGATAACAGTGGATGTTATAAGAAATTGGGCTTTAAAGAATGATATGCACCCGTTTTTCATTGAACTGATGGGCAACCTGATAAGCATTCGTAAAATCAGCGCAAGAAAAAAAGAAGGGTCGTGAAAAAACTTACATGCTTCAGATATTAAAAGTAGTGGAATAGAACACATAAACATCAACTAATGATATTTAAATATTGGTAAATGCTTTACCACCTCATGATCACAGTCTTGCTTTGAATGTCTAGCAATCGTCCCTCACACAGTAAATGCTGTGATATGGGAGAAAGAAAAAACATATAAGTATTACTCCACTTAACGCCGTCTCTGAGTAAAAACGATGGAAATTCTTGTCAGTAAAAATACGTACAGATTTACTGATTAAAAGCATCAGATGAAAAGTAAACTCGCTAAGACAATTTAAACGGTAGTCATATGCTTAATTGTAGATATTGCCGCATACTACGGGTGGTTAAGTTTCTCAACGGAAGAATAAATTTAACAAATTGATTAACACGTGTACCTCAATCTACTAGTCTGAAAAGTGAAGACAGAATAACAGTATCTAAAGGTGAAGCCTTTTACGCAATAATTCAAGGCCCTCGGTGCTTCACCATTATTCAAAAATGCGTTCCTTGGGAGCATTTTTATTCAGTATATTAAACAATTGCACAGTAGCATACGATAAAACAGCAGTGATTGATTCTTTCACTAAGGATCATAAAAATTACGCGCATTAAAGGATCATCGATACTGCTGAGCGCAAAACCTCTTGTTTTTGTTTGCAAAATACCGGAATTATTTTCATATTCAGCGGTGTCATAATGGTGTAGGTGCATGACTCTGTTCAACATTTGACTTAAATAGTGGCCACTGCTCGGTGTTAAACGGCGATAAGCACCCTGTA